CAAAGAGTCCAGTTTGATCCCATGCTTGCTCAGTCCAAGTCCAGCTGGATTTGGTGAGCTCCCATTATGTCAGGCACACTGTCTCAGTGGGTGGACCAACCCATCGCGGTCCTGACTTCCTTGCTCATCTTCTCCCTCCTTCTGCTCTTCAACTGGACCTTAGGAGCTCAGTCCAGTGCTCTGATGTGGGTCTTGGGACAGGAAATTCTTTGCGGTTGCATTATTTCTTGGATAATTATTATCATGCTATCTCATTTACTACAAGTCTTTCGAGAAGACCTTTGGGAACTTTCCATCTGTGGAAAGCTCAGATGAGCTCCATCTAGGGTGGTAAAACACATCTCTCTTTTTTTTCTTTTTTAAAAGAAGCAAACTATTTTTTTTTCATTTTATATACCAATCCAAGTTCCCACCACTTCCTCCCATAATCCCATTTCTTCCACATACCACCCTCACCCCACCACATCCACTCCTCAGAGAGGGGAAGGCACATTGCTTTGGGGAAGGTCCAAAGCCCTCCTTACTATAGCTAGGCTGAGCAAAGTATTCATCCAAAGAGAATAGGTTCTTCAAAAGGCCAGTACAACACATCTCTTAAGGAGCTTCTGTTTTTTGTGTTTCGAAGATAGATTTAGGAAGGGGTTTGATGGTGACCTGTACAGGCTTTGAACCCAATATTTTGAGAAAGAATATGCAGCCATATTTTGAGAGAGTTCTATCAGAATTAAGAAGTAAATGCTTCTTGATTATCATTATTTTTTTTTAAAAGTGAAAATAGAAAGCATTTATGACTGCTGAGGCAGGGTCTTGAGGCCGCTTGGAAATCACACCACAACTTAATAGCTATTCAAGCTTGGAAACGCTTTATTTTATTTTATTTCTTTTACTTTTGGAGTCTATTTCTTAATTTCTAAATCATTAGCTTGAAGTGGATTAAATGATATAGCAACACAGAGCAAGATGAAAATGCTTAATAGATACATCATTCTGATTCCATGCATTAAGTCGTTAAGTATAAAGTGGTATATCAAAAAGTACTGTTAAAAGATGGTTCATTAAAAGTAATAGTCTTAAAAATGCCAAAACGTTTAAAGAGTGAAGAATTCAAAGTACGAGGAAAATAGATCTCTTGGTTGAGATTTTCTCAAAATTTTAATTCTGCACACATTTGTGCAGACGGCAAAGCACATAGTACTTTTCTAATTTCTTTTCACCCTGAAGTCCTGTCACGATGGTGCTTCTTTCATGACACACAATTGTTGAAGGGAAATGTTTCAGTTGGCATGTGATTGATGCTCAACTACAATAAGCCTCCCACGTAGAAGACTTGAATTTATAGATTATGGTTGAATTCCAGCATGGACTCAAGTCTAGAGAGACACCTACAGAGTTGTAGTTCAGTGTTCTAACAAATGGTGTCTTACAACTATGAGTGGTTCTGAGGAGCTTTCCATTGGTGTCAGTATTTGGTCCTACATGTTTCCCTTTGCTGAGCAATGCTCTCAGTGATGTAATAACTGTGTTTGGGGCATGTGGGTAAGCTATGAAGGAAAGAATGTACCAGGGAATCCTCAGATTCCCTCATCTAACCCTCACAGGAGCATTAAGGACAAGGCCCTCACTTCCATGTTTTCCTTTGCTGCAGAGGGCACTGCTATCACTTTGGGTGGGCCTCCCTTGGTCACTTGACCTGTTTCTCTTACTTCTAAACCCTTCCATGTTGCTTTTTTAGGGCTCAGTACTTTGACGTCTCCGCTGTAAATACTTATTTTTCAGGTGATGCCATTCAGTTGTAGAACTTACATTTTTACCTGTTTGCTGGCTGCTCTCCAAATGTTCCCCCTGCCATAGATTTCTGCCTTGAGTATCTTGACTGTGTTACCTATGACCTACAGTGTTTCAGCTTTTCTTGATGACTTGACCATCATATCTAACCTCAAACCCACTATCTCTGTTGCTGTAGAAAAGATGTGTCTAGGGGATTTTCTCTTCTCTCTGAACAGTTTATGCAGTTGAGTGTCCTAACTCTGTCTAATAACCAGATCATACACAGTCATTCTCAATCTGTGTTCAGTAGTTGTGTTCTATTTTTGTTTGTCATTTGATGACATATAGTCTCAGTTGTGACACTGGCTTTATGTCATAACAAGCTGATAACAAAGTAGAAGAGAAGAGGTATGTGATCTTTGGTTCAGAGAATTTAGACTAAAGCCCACCTCTTAGCTCCTGAAATGGCCTTCTTAATTTGTATTAAATGGTACCATGTGCTAAGGGTCTTTGAATACTTGATTTTTCTCCCTTCCCCTTTAAATAAAACTGTTTTATGTTGTGTGGGAGGGATGTGAAATTTAATAGGTTATTTTTAAAAGAAGGTACTTAGTCATAGATGATTGGAATAAGCGTTATGTTGCTAGGGCAACACCAGTTGAATTTTCGAGAGTTCTTTTTTCTCCCATAGGTAAGTATTGATGTTAGACTTACGTATTTGTGCTCACTCTCTCTGGGGTAGTGATATTTTCCTGGTGGTGTTCTTGTGGTTCCGCACTAGCCAGATAGAGCTGTGCTCTGTAGAAATGACAGGTCTAGACCCATGAGTCACAGAACTCCAACTTCACTGGGAAGCTGTCAACAGGAAGGCAGCTCCATTTATAGTTTGAAGGTGGGAGGGAAGAAAGGAGAATTTGGGTTGCTTTCCTTTGGTGCAGTTTGCTTTTTTGAGAGAAGGAAAGAACGGGTGAAATGTTCTAAGCATTCATCCCTAACTTCTTTTGTTCTCACTTCCATTTGACGCAGTGGAAGGTGCTAGTGTGTGTTCTATTTTAAATGATGGGATGGATGGGCTCCATTATTAGAGCTTCCATTAATAGAAAAGGAGCTGCAACCTGATGGATTCCTAGGTCCCTAATTGGATTCTGGCATTTTGAATGGAAATGACCCCTTTCTTTTGAGGTAGTAGTGTTGGGAATTTTTTACTCGTGTCTCTTAAAGAGCCCTTCAGTGTTCCACTGTTAATTAGAACTCATAGATTTCCCTCCCCTTTGAACACAGACTGACTTGTGGTGTGTGCAATATTAATGTTTTGGCTGGGAAGAGGGCTCAGATGGTGAGAGCACCGGCTCTCCAAGCATCAGGATCTGAATTAGATGCCCTAGCATCCAAATAAAAAACTGGGCATGACTGCATGTGTCTCTAACCCCAGGATTGAGGGGCAGGGAGAAGCAGATTCTGAGAGCCCTCTGGCCAGCCAGCCTAAATGAAAAGGGGAGCTTTGGGTTCAGTGAGAGGCTATGGTAGTTTAAATGTAATTGCCCCCAAAAGCTCATTTCGAGTGGCACTATGAGGAGGTGTGGCTTTGTAGGAAGTGTATCAGGAGTGGCACTATGAGGAGGTGTGGCTTTTTTGAAGGAAGTGTGTCACTGTGGAGGTGAGCTTTGAGGTCTCACGTATGTTCAAGCCACACCCAGTATCTCAGTTCACTTCCTGTTGCCTGTGGATCAAGATGTAGGATTCTCTCCATACCATATCTGCCTGCATCCTCTCATGACACACTATGATGTTAAGGGACTAAACCTCTGAAACAGTAAGTTACCTCTTTAAATGTTGCTGTGGTCGTGGTGTCTCTTCACAGCAATAGAAACTCAGATTAAGACAGAGACCTTAGCTCAAGACAGTGAGGCAGAGCTATTGCTGAAGACACCTGGGGTCTTGAGCTGAGCTCCCTATGCTCTTGAGCTTATAAGCATGTACCACTTACACATGCCATACATATAGTATACATATAACATATATACATACAAACACACATTTTAATACATACAACTCATACATATAGTACATACAGTCCATACACATACCATATAACACACACAAGCATATATGCACAAACATAAACACATCCAAATGTAATATGATACATACTATAACATGCATATAAACAAACATAAATATATACATAATGTATACATAGAAATATACATGTACACAAATACGTGCATATAAACATATATGCACGTTATATGAATCCATATGTATATATCTGCACCCATACACATACTGCACCAACATACACACAGACATACACCCATGTATATGGACCCATACATGCCATTTATACATGCACACATACCACTCATACATACACACACACATACATACACACACAAAGACATACAAGCACAAATGATGTTCCTTACTATGATTCGTGTCTCCCAAACTCTTGGGAACTTAGCTTCAGTGCAGAAGCAGTAGTTTTGGGAGTAGGATGCTTCTGGTGCCATGGCTCTGCTCTCCAGGATGGTTGGGTGATGCAGTTACTGGGGTGGATTAGAGAGAGTAGGAGCAGTTCTGATGAAAGGAGTTGCTTGGTTCCTTTCTCTTCTTTTCCTCTACCCCTTCTTTCTCACGTTCCTTCTCTTTAGATGCCGGGTCTCTATACCTTAGACTTCCAAACCTCCAGAAGAGTAGGAAATGAACTCATAATTGACCCTGTCTGTGTTCTGTCCTAGGAACACAGAACAGGCACAGCCACCCCATCCTTGGGAGCACATCTGTTTGAGTTGTCCCTGCTGTCTCCCTAAGCCCCGTCTCCACCCTCCCCTCAGGCATATCTAGTGTGTTTAAACCACATACTGTCTGCTCCCATTTTTCTTCTTTTGGATTCCTGTGGAAATCAGCCTTCAGGACCTCATTCCTCTTTGTCTTTTTATTAATTTCTCTTTTTAAAGTGGTGAACAGGTGTCCAGCACTGGAAGCAGCAGTTGGAAAGTAGAGATTACTTGGTGGTTTGGAGAGAGACCAAGTATCTAGGGAGGTCAGCTTCTCTGATGTCAACATAGTTTCCCAAAAGGCAACACCCAGGTCAGCTGGTGCCACCCAGGGCAGGGCCAGGCTGGGCTGGGTCTCCAGGAAGCTTCCTGGCTTTGCTCTGGGAAATACCCTGGGGATATAAGCATTTGATCGGCTGCACTTACTCTTCTAGCAGAGAGAGCCAAGGAAACTTATTCTGGTAGCAGGGAGGAGACTGAACCCGGTATGTGACTGTGCAGAGCTCCTGGGAGAACAGCAAGAATTCGTCAAGATTTACTTTTTGTTTGTACAGAAGAGGCCTGGATTGGAGGCTTTGATTGGTGGTAGGTGGGACCAGGATTTTTAAAAATTATTTATTTTTTAATTTATGTAAATGGAGAGAAGGGTCTTTGTGTACCATGGTGAGCTTATGGAGGTTGGAGGGAAACAAGTGGGAGTTGGTTCCCTTCTTCCATCCTGTGGGATCCGGGGATGGAGTTTAGTTAATCAGTCTGGGCAGGAAGAGCCCTCACCTGCTGAGATATCTCCCTGGTGGTAAGCCAGACTTTCTACTGTGTTAAGTTTCTGCCTGGGAAGGGAATTTTTTCCACTTTACATGATGAGTTCCACCATCAGTCTTTGGTTGCATGTTTCCCTGGGGAATGGTACGGTCAGAGCTACATTTTATGATAACCGTGATTGATCTTGAAAGTGGAGGTTGAGAATTGGGGAGACGAAATAGTTTGGGAGGAGGAGTCATCTCTTAGGGAATTAAGGTGTTGGGTCGAAGTGGGAGATTGGGCCTTTCTGTAGCATGTGAGACTGGGTGGTGTCTTGAGTGAAAAACGAGTCCTGAGTCATGGAGAAAATCAGAGGAAGGGGGATTCTGTGTCAGATGCTGTGAAGCCTGACTTGTGAGGTAATTTCCTCCTATCTCTTGGCCCTTAACCAGCTAGGCTAGCTCTGTGAGTGAAAATACCACAAGCCCTCAGACCCTGTCCTTGTCAGTCCCATGAGGAATTCTCTGGTAAAGCACAGGCTGGGCTGGCTCCTGTTTCCCCATCCCTGAGGTGAGCAGGCAAGGTTTGTGGTATGTTCAGTGTGTGGGCCCAGAGTTCACGCTTTGAAGGACTTTTAGAGCTACTTTGGATGGAGCAGTAGAATGCCACTGGCTGGCACCCACTGGCGAATTATGATCTCTTCAGTTAACATTTTGCTCTCAAGCAGCTATCATATTCGATGGAAGAGGGCTTCTTGGCTGTCTAGATATTTCTTCCCTCCAGGGATGAAGTTCTGGAAAACTTAAAGGACATTCAGCCACAGCAGGCTCTGGTAACCTCAGGATGGGTGGAGAGGGTTGGCGTGGTGCCAGTGAAGATACGTGGATGATGATCGTACCTGGGTGCCTCACCCTGTGTTCACATTCTTCTAGATGTAATTTCTGATCATCATTTAAAGATATCCATATTAGGAAGTCAGAGAAAGTATGCTGTGAAAGAGTATTGAAAATTATGTCTCATTCAATTGTGTCTTTTTGGGGGGCGGGGCAGGGGAGAGGCTTCTGTGTAGGGGAAAGTAAGGGAAAAGGTGACCAGCTCCCAGCTACTACCCTTCATCCAATAGGCCAGTTGAGGTAAATGTGACAATTAGAGACAGCATTGAAATGTTCATTTCCCCGCCGGGCCAGGGTTAAGAAGTTTGAATCTCATTGATTCCCAGTGAGACTAGGCTCCTGTTTGACAGGCGAGGATTTGGAGTGGTGAGCTCACAAGACCAGTTTCTCACAGATGATTAAAGGGGAGCAAGGGCACCCCAAGAAGGGCCTTCTGAGCCATGTTGGCTCCCCATGGGGGGATCTCACATCACAGCTCTTCAGCAGAGTCAGAGCATCTGGGTGGACCTCTATTTTCTTGATCTGATTAAAATGTACTTCTTTATTGATTCAGACCAGTTTAAAATCTTTGAGTAGTAAGGAGAGGACCAATGCTATGGCTTTGAAGTTCTGTATATACTATGTAGCTCCTAGGGTCAGATGATTGACAGCTGTGTGAACCCACAGCTGGCACAGTTTGGAGGGTCATGATAGATAAAGGTGTGCCAATCCTTGGTCAGGCAGCAAAGGGATTTCTAGTACTATTCAATTAACACAATGGAGCAGCTAGCTCTGCTTGCTATTTTGTGAATATTAAATGTTGTATTTAAAGATATGGCCTGGTCTGGGGATTAAATAAGGGATATCTCTGTATTTGAGATAGTCAGTTTTGAATATTATATGAATATTATCTCTTTATCCTATTTACAGAAATATTTATTTATATGTCTATTTTTTTCCTACTATCACCACGCAAAATCTGGCCTGCTTTCCTGTTTTTGTGTGTCTCTGGTTTGGTTATTGATACGTGGCTTTGCAGAACTGGGTTTGACTGCAGTGTGAGAGGAAACCTGGAGGCTGGGGAGGTGGCTCCGTGTAGCTCTGTGAGCATGGGGGCCTGAGTTTGAATTCCCAGCACCCAACTGGAAATGTCTGCATGGCTGTTTGGGCCTGGAACACTAGCCTTGGAGTCTTGAGTTCCAAGAGTTTACTGGCAAGGTAGCTACTCATCTAAATAATAAGGTTTTGGTTCAGTGACAGACCCTGTCTCCAGACAGTGAGGTGCAGAACCATAGCAGAAGATGCCTAGTGTCCTCCTATGGTCTCCATAGGGGTGTTCATGGTTGTATGTCCTTCAACCCTAACTGTGAGCAGCAGTGAAATTTGAGTAAAATTGGATAAATGTTAAAAGTAAGCTGATGCAATTTGATTCTTTTTCAACATCATATGAATATTCAAGAGCGCCTAAGTCAGTGGTTCTCAACCTGTGGGTCACGACCCCTTTGGTGGTCAACCAACCCTTTGGCAGGGGCCACTTAAAACCACTGGAAAACACATATATTTACATTACAATTCATAACAGTAGTAAAATTACAATTATGAAGTAGCAACAAAAATAATTATATGGTTGAGTGGGTCACCACGACACGAGAAACTATTAAAGGGTTGAAATATTAGGAAGGTCGAGAACCACTGTTCTGGGTATTTGTTTTAAACCTTTTCTTGACAACTTGCCTTTCCAAAGTCAGACAAATGCATCGACAAATGGGAACATTTGTGTATCTTGCATTATGCTGAGCATATGAAATATTTTTATGCGTTTCCAAGTAGGTAGACCCTTTATTCTTGTACTAGAGAGAGCAGTGAGCAGAACCTTACAGAACTTTTTATGCTCATATTGGTCAAAAACATTTTTAAAGAATACAGGACTAGAGAAGCCATTCAGTGACAGAATGCTTGCCTATCATGAAGGCCCAGGTTTGATTCTCAGCACCACAAAAACATACACATGTAGGCTGAAGATGGTTGCAAATATAGGATAAGAAGAGGGTAAGGTGAGGTTTGGGAGTGTCGTATTAGGCTAGTTGTAACTTAAATGTCTGAGTGCATCCCAGGACTTCACTAGGAGGCTTATTGTGGGAAGAGAGGAGAGAAGAGGGCCTTCCCTCCCTGGGCCATAGTCCGAGGACTAGTCTTGAGGAGGTTAACATTCCTACTTTGTTTATTTCCTCTTTATCTCTAGATTATCGATAAGAAATGAAAACTCTGAGAGGAAATGGTCTAAGTAAATAGAGATAGCCCATGGGACCTACTTCTGTCCCTACAGTGCTCCCTCCTTCAGATGGTGTCATGCCGTGCCCACTTTAGACACAATGGCACTGGTGGAGTCACTCAGGCAGGCACACTTTACTTTCAGTTTCTGGCTGTGATTTGTTACCTTGAGCTTCCTCTCTCTACTTGTTAATTTAAAAGGTCTAGGGCTGTGCCTTGTGGCCACCCACTGGGGTGTGTGTGTGTCAGCGTGAACTCTGCTCCAGCAATCCAGGGCCATGTGAATTCCTGGTATTACGTGTTTCAGCGATAGGAGGATAATTTGGCTGGCCTGTGTGTCTTTGTGTTCTGGGGCACGTTGTAAATGTTCATACTTAGAAAGGAATGTAAAGTGAAGGGCAGAAATGCAAGGTCACTGCACACGGACACATGACCAGCCTTGCCTTGTGTTTCCAAAGATTGCTTATCATTATAAAAAAGGCACAGCCAGATGGATTGGAAATGATTATTACAAGCTATTGAAAGGAGGTAGGCCTTCAAAAGGGCTCTATGATTCCTGATGCTCAAGTGTGCTTATGATAAAAGTGGGATCATTCTCTGAGGCCCTGTAATGTGAACCACAAATATCTATCTATCTATCTATCTATCTATCTATCTATCTATCTATAAATTTATGAAGTGGTGCAATGGGGGAACATATTCATGGATATAGGACAAGGTATAACCAGTTGCAGAGTCCTTCTATTTTGCCCAGGGTTGCTTGGACCTATCACACACTGCTTCATACCACCTAAGCCAGTCTTTACAACCTAAGAGAGTGTGTGACCTCTCTCTCTCCTCTCTTAAGTGGTCACAGTGGCAGACAGGAAGCCACGCCCTAAGGCTGGCTTCCCAAGGCTATTGGCGTAATGAATCACCACAAGACCCACAAATCTTTAAGACTACATGGTACTTCTGTTCTTTGGCTAATTTCCTATTTGAAGTGATACATTGATCATCATTAGAACAAAAGCCTGTGAGTTCACAATAGTTTCTAGTGGTATTTCCACTTCGAGTTCCAAAACAGAATGCTGTTCATCTTTACAAGATGACTTTCTCTTAATTGAAGAAATACATCTATTATAATTTGAGTACTTCATCTGTGAAATTTCTCCAGAGTAGTTTTTTGAAGTATAGTACACAGACAAAAACATAGGTATTGTATAACTCCCAGCTCGACTCCCAAGGGCTCAGAAGATGGCTCAGTTGGTAAACTTATTGCCCTGTAAGCACGAAGTGTTGAGTTTGATTCCAGAACTCATGTCTAAAAAATGAACTGATAAATTTACAGGTTGAAGATTCCTTGGAAGGAAAACACAGGTAACCAGTGTCCAGCACGAAATTCAGATTCCCAGTATTGGAGAAGCCTTGCTCTCTGTCACTGCTCCTCCCATTCTCTATCCTGAGGGTACCACACACTGTCTTGAGCCTAGCGGTGGATTTTCCTTTTGCTTTGCTTGTTTTAGTACTTTTATATTAATCTATCCATGTTATCTGTACTCTTCTCTTCCCGTTGCTTGTGATACTGAACCATACAGTCAAATAAAGCTGCAGACTGTTAATACCACTGCCGTCTAGTGCTTCACCGTGTACATATTCCATAACATAAGGATGCTGGGAAGTCTCCCGTGTATGATTTTTGCTAAACAATAAAAACATTGTTCTTGAGCGTTAACCTGGAAATGGAATTACTGGGTTGTGGGCTATGGGCATATTTACTTTAAGTTGATGCTAACAAATAGGATCGCAGTATAAATCCATCAGCTGTTTCTAGCAGCAATGTGAGGGTTTATGGGATTTCCTGTTGATGTTTTTTGTTTTTGAGCGGGGGGATAGGAGTTACATGAGCTTTTTTTGTTCCATGTTTGTTCTGTGAAAACGAACTGGTAGATCCTGGAAAGCTGAGTTCAGCTTTCGTCTCTGTATTTATTCTCACCCCGCTTTTCTTTTTCTCTGTATGAGTGGATGTGTGTTATACATGCTACATGCTTGATGCATGGAATATATTCCATATATGTTGACAACAAATACATGTGACTATTTTTTCCTTTGCTACTTACAGTTATGCTGAAAAGCTAGCTCAGAGGCCATCTAGCTCAGGTTTCTGCAGTGTGGTTCTCACTGATGCCCTGTTGGTATTGATGGAAATACAACAGGGCTTGAGAGAGGCCCAATCTGTCTGTTACACACTATTCAGTCTCTTCAAAACTGATGTGCTATCTGCTTCCTTTTGACGTTTTCATAAGCATCTTGCACTTTTACAGGCCAACAAAAATGTCCAGCATGTCTGTAATAGAATTCAGACTCTTCAGGTCAAAGTTACTGGCTGCATTTTTTTTTTTTTTGAGATAAGGTATCACTAACTAGCTCTGGTTGGAATTCTCTAGACCTAGGGACCTTGAACTCTCAGACATTTGCCTATTTCTCCCTCACCAGTAATGGGGTCAAAGCCATCAGATCCCATTCCTGCTTCACGGCCCATTTTTAAAACTGAAATTTTCATTTTCTGCAGATCCAGGTTTCTAAGCAGTGTGCAGAGGGTTTCCTTGGGGGAAAACCTGTGGACAGCAGAGGGGAAAGCTCAGTGCAAAGCTGTTTGCTTGTTTTTCTCCTCCCAGTTGTGTGCTTCCCAATTTTCCTGTCATATGTGTGCTTTGATTTCTGCTTAGAATCTTCAGATTGCATTTAAATACTACTTACAGAAAACTGAATAATTCATCAGACCATCATGGATAAAACAAGAAATGGAGCAAATGGCTTTATTATTATTATCATTTAGGAAAACTCACTGTAATATTTAGATCAAAGGCTATAGAAAATTCTTGTGTTTTGTGCTCTAAGAGTTTTGAGTATCCAAGATGATTTTAATACTGATGGACCTTATAATGAAAATGAATTTGACTTATAGTTAATAATTTAAGGTTCATGGATATAATCAATATGTTCTCTTTTTTTTACAGGCAAGAAGAGACTGACAGGAGATTGAAAAATGTAAGTTTTATTTAATGGAGTTTTATAAATAGTTTTTCCTTTATGTTCTATAAAATCATAAGAATTTACTAAGAATATACTCTGTGTCATCTCTTCTGATTAAAATTTACCTAGAAACCAACAAGTTAGAGTCTAAATGTTGTTATATATATTCTGTACATAGCATATATATATATATATCTAACAATGAATTATAATACATACTAACTAGCTCTGGTTGGAATTCTCTAGACCTAGGGACCTTGAACTCTCATATTATATTTTGTGTAGACCTGACTCCAGCATAGGAGAGATTAGGTTTCAGAGATTGGTTGTTGTGTTTCTAATTTATAAACATCAAAGTCAATTTCAAAGTTTTAGGGGAGCAATCAGGAGATTATCAAGTTAGACATTAAGGGACAACATGATGACTTAAGGATGCTTATTGAGTATATGCTGATACCATGTCCTTGATATTGCACAATTATAGAAGAATATCTAAAAGTAGCAGCTTTATTTAAAAATATGCTCATCAAGCAAGCTGAGAATTATTGACTTTAGGTGTTTATTAGGTAGTTTTATCAGGAAATAATTGACATAAAATGTTTTCCTTGTGGCCCAGGATGGTGCCTCAGTGGGTTCAGAAGAGCTTGCTGTGCAAGCCTAGTGGTCTGAGTTTGATCCCTGGAACCCACGGAAAAAGCTGAATACAGTAGTGTGTATGTATTTGCAGCACTCTTAGGGTGAGATTGGAGTCAGAGACAGGAGGAATCACAAGGAAACTCGTGCCAGGCATACACTGTGGAACATCAAGCTACTAGAGAAGGCCCTGCCTCAAAACAAATGTATAAATTGAGAGCCAGCTTCTAGAAGGTGTCCTGTTCCCTCTACACCTGTGAACCTGTGTGCATTCTCTGTCTCTCTCTCTTACACACACACACACACACACGTTTCTCTTGCACTTTAGACTTACCTGTTTTACGAGACAGTCTGTCATGTAGCTCAATCTGTTCTCATAGCTTCCATGTAGGCATATGACCTTTGAACTTCTTCTGGTCCTCTTGCCTCCATTCTCCAAGTGATGAGGGTCCAGTTATGAACCACCAGACCCAGTTTCATGCAATGCTGGGGAAAGCCCAGGACTCCCTGCATGCTAAGAAAGCATTCTACCACCTGAGTTATGTCACCAACCCTCATGTTTTTCTCCTATTTTTTTTTCTTCCTCCCAAAAGTAGGGTGCATGATTGTCTATTAAGTTCTGTGACTTTTGGTCTGAGAACCCATTCTGAAATAATAAAATATATCAAGAATAATTATGATTTTTTAATGGCTGCATTCTATATCATAAATTTAAGAGTCTGCTTTTCAACTTTAAAGTATCATTTATGAGCTACAATTTGTCTACCTGTGGTTGGACTGGCACTTGCTTACCAATCCACTGTTCTTGTTCTTTTCATCTAGGTTTTGATAACTTTGTACTGGCTGGGAAGAAAAGCACAAAACAACCCCTACTATAATGGTCCCTATCTCAATCTGAAAGCTTTTGAGACTCTGTTGGGCCAGGCTTTGACCAAGGTAAGGAAACCAGCGCCACCTGTATGAAACAAAGACTGTGATGTGTGCGCCTACATCATCACGTGACGTGTGTGCCTGCGTCATCATGCTCGTCCCTTCCACTCTCAAGGCTCCTCTACAGCAGACATGGAGCTTGCCTGTGCTCCTTCCTAGACAGGGATACACAGGCAGGTTGGTTACTTGTTCTCTGGCTTAATGTGCTTCTTTCAAGAAGTTTGTTATCTGTGCCAGGGTAGGTTCAAGGTAGAGAATTTTATGTCCTTAATTTTAGGTAATTTGATGACACATCCATTGCTTTTTATATACAATATAACTTAACTGTTTCTATACTCACTGTGAACTCAATTTGCAGTAAAAATGCATTTTAGGGCTATTCATGTTTATAGGAGTTACTGAGTTTCTTTCTATTATTCTGTTCTTGTCATGGGTAATTATCTAGTGACCTCATTCCAATATCATCATGCAGCCACTGTTCACTGAGGAATAATACATATTAAGTGGAACTTGATAAAGGTTTTTGTTTTGTTTTTTGTTTTAAGACACTCTCAAGTAATCTAGGCTATTCAGAACTTGCTATGTATTCAGGGTGATATTTGAATTCCTAATCCTCCTGCCTCTATCTCCCAACTGCTGGAATTTTGAAGGCATGACTTGTGGTTGTCTCCTAGGGAGATTTTAAAGTTAGAACCCTTGTTTTTTCACTTTTAGTTTTTTATTTGTAATCACACACACACACACACACACACACACACACACACACACACGTACATATAAGAATGCTAGTGACCTTGGTGGCCAGAATAGGCCCTCAGCTGCCCTGAAGTTATGCAGGATTGCAAGCTGCCTGACGTGGTTGCTGGGAACTGAACTAGAGCAGCAGGTGCTCTTAACTGCCAAGCCCAGAGCCCTTGTTTTTCTCTATGATTTTGTTCTTTCATATCCCGGGATCATTGTAACAGGCTTTTAAGCCTTGTGCACTATTTGAGAAGGGCCAGGCCCTGAGGGTAAAGCATAGCGATTTTTATTTTGTCAGGAAAATCTTCATTTAAAGGAGCCTAGTGGAAAACTAATTTCTCTGTGGAACTGTTCAACCAGGGCTTTTATAATAATTGGAAGAAGATAGATGGCTCAAAATGATAAAATACTATCTATATATTAGTACTTAGTACTTGCTTTGTGAGGTTTTTCTGATGATTAAATACAAAACATAGTGAATGTTCTGACAGATTTCATTCTCACAATGAGGATGAAATAAATGTTAGTTATGATCAGAACAGAAAAGTATTTGGACATGATAAAAATTATTGCCTTCGCCTATATCTATCCACGTCTTTAAAAATACTTGGCCTGCATCTGGCCATGTGCATATTATAAAGAGAGATGGGATTAGACACTTATTTCCTTTAATTGTAAGGACTTGATAGCTTTTTAGCTCTGGGAAGATAGCTCAGGTGGTAAAATGCTCGTGCAAGCATGCGGACATGAGTCTGACCCCCGAATCCATGCAATAAAGCAGAATGTGGTGATACACACTCGTAATCCCAGCACTGAGGAGGTAAGGACAGGAGGATTTCTGGGGCTCCCCGGCAAGGTTGTATAATCTACTTGGGAAACAACAAACTAGTAAGACACCCGTTTTCATCTTCAGAAACATAAAACGACAAAAGAAACTCAAGGTGGATGCCTTTTGAAAAACAACACTGGAGAATGACCTTTGACCTCTACACACGCATGCTTGCATGTGCATGAGCACTCACACACATCTGTGCTGCCACACATGTGTAGTGTTAGTGTACATGAACACTCAGAAGAGTACAGTTCTGTATCCACTGTTTTGGATGAATTAGCTGAGACAGAAGTGCCACACATTCACAGTGTGCTGTATGTTGGAGAGTGACTGACTCATCTACCAGCAAGCATACCTGCCTTAGATTAGGAAGCAGATCCATCCCTGCCATGAAGAGGGTGAGGCTCTGGTGAGAGAATTGTAGGGAGTTGTGGGTACAAGGGAAACCTGGCTTCCCAGCTCTTTGGACCCAGGAACTCTGCAGTTAGAAGATACAGGGGCCACAGGCTCGTGGACTAGTGCTCTTTATAGACTTTTCCACTTTTTATGGCAATGACTCAGGATGAACAATCGCAGTGCAGAGTTTGGACTAGGAATGCCTCTTTAAAGGCTGTTCACAGTCGTCCATATCGAAGTCAGGATGGTCCAAAGACTTTTTTTTTTGTAGATAAGACTGTGGTTGTGGTCCTATTCTTCCTTTACCTGGTGGGAGTAGACACAAGAGGCATGTGAACCTATCATTTGGTTTGCTTCAGTTCTTTTGAGATGAAGGTGTTGTGTCAAGTGAACTTTCACAATTCACTTGCAATGATAAAGCCAATTGGAAATAGCATTGAAACAATATTCAAGTAGAAGGTGCTATATTTGAGTCAGATTATAAGCTGGGGATGACTCACTTTGGGGGGAACCTGTTAGGGTGAAGTCCTCAAAAACCAGACTGCAGGGGCAGACTTGAGTTATTTATAACAGGTCACATGACTCATTGTCAGTCATATTAACATTGAGGCTATCAGAGGTCAAACTGTGTTAACTGAGGTTTCAAAAAGTATGTGTTGAAGAGACCTGAAGGAGCTAAAGATTGACTTTAAAATGTTGATCTTATATTTTGAGATGTAGCCTGTTGACACTAAGCTTGGCATCCCCATTTGATTGCAAGTGGCAGGTGAAAAGGCAGACCCTGGCATTTCCATGCCAAGTTGTCAAGTTCAATGCTAATACAGAAGTTTTGTACTAGCCATTCTTGGCATTTCGAACACTTGCCAGACATTGGCTCACAAGCTGATGGATCTGAGGCAGGAATCTGCTTCAAACAGCTGCTGGCTGCTGGTCATGAGCACTAGCCAGCCCTGCTTCATCTGTTGAAAGTGTTTGTGATAAAATACCGAGACAATAACCTGCAAACCTCACCTCATTGTTACCTGATGAAGTGTTTCCACTTTGGCTTTCCATAATAATGTCTGCCTGTGTTTTCACTTAACCATTCGAAGATGAATTGAGATGCCTTGCCTCACTCCTGTATTTACTGAGTCCATCTCTAAAGAGTAAGAATATTTTTCTGCATGGCTATAATAGCACTTAAGAAATCTCATCAAAATTAATCCTCAATTAATAGATTATTGACTCTATTTTATGTGGTCTCTTTGCTATTTTTCATAGTTTTTAAAAGTTAAATCATGATTCAATCCAAGTTTGCATGTTATATTTTGTTATTCTTATGTTCTTTACTCGTCACCTGAGATTAACTTTGTTTTTCATTTAGGTCCTAATTTTTCAAAGGTCAGCTAGGTTCACTAAATTTCAGAGGTGTGTTAATTAAAATGGCTTGTTTTGGGAAAGTTCTACGAAAGTTATAAACCTAGGTGGGATATCTTTTGCCCTATTTTCACGTATTTCTTATTTATATAAGAGCCAAATAGCTATTTTCTTTCCATCGAAGGAAGGAAAGTTTTATATAGCAGCAGCATGTGTACTACCCTTGACTCAATATTGCCAGCGTCTCAATCTAAGTTGCATAATCAGTGAAATAAACAAATTCCACAATGTGTATCCTCACTGCTCTTTAAGATAGTGGATTTCTTTTGAGGGCAGATAGGACAACAGAATGTCACTCTGGTCTTATGTTTAACATATACCACCTCAGAGAAATCCTGGAGAGAGAATGACACATTTTCAAGATGTGCCTCCCTTTTGCATGCCTACATTGGGATGGCTTTTCTCTTTGATTTTTTTCATCTCTTCTACCAGGCAAAAATATAAATCATTGACCAGCATTTCTGGGCTGTTTTTATTAGTATTTTATCTTGTGTATTGATTATATAACTACTTTATTAAATAATTTCAGGTATCTTATGTGAAATTTTGAATAACCCCCTATCATACAGTTTGTGGAGAAAAAAAAGATGTGCTTTTAACGTTTTTTTTTCTTTTGTTGAACAAGAAAATCCTGTCAACTTCTCTCCCTAATTAATCAGCCTCTTTGCACTCCAGAAAGTTCATGTTCACTCACTGGTCTTTGTACAATATTTCTCCTTCAGGCTCTTGAAGATTCTAGCTGCCTGAAAAGAAGTGGCCGCGACAGTGGCTACGGGGATATCTGGTGTCCCGACAGAGGAGAATTTCCTGTCCCTCCAGGCAGCCATAGGAGGGAAGATTCCTTTGAAAGCTTGGACTCCTTGGGGTCTAGATCACTGACCAGCTGCTCCTCAGATCTCACGCTCAGAGGTGGGAAGGAAGGTGAGTTGTGTCTTGGGATGTAGGCTTATTTGGCTTGTTTGTATTTGAAGAGAAAATAGCAGAGGAGACAAAGTATGGAATGCAACCATTTCAAAGATTCATCAAGATGTAGATCTTAATAAATCCATGTAATTAGGTGGTTTTTAAATGTTATTTTTGGCTTTTCCCTCCCTCATACCTCAGAGTAATTCCAGTCCCCCTCTTCCCTTTTTTAAACTTCTATATTTGGACAGGACTTGTGAGGAGATAGTTCACTGTGACTGAATTTTGTCAGTGAGAAAGTCTTCAGACAGAGGCTTAGCAGTAGCTATCTAATAAGGCTAATAAGCTATCTAATAAGGTACCTCACGTATCTAAGCACAAAGTGCATAAGGGTCTGTGAATAGTCTACTTTCCAAGTATGTTTCTTTCTTGTCTTAATTTTACCAGAAACCACAGATAACATTTTAAATCCTGAGGCTATAGTCCAGTGATAGAGCCTATGGCCAACATCCAGGAGACTCTCGAGGTTAAACCCCAGCACTTCCAAGACCAGGTTTCTCCTTTTAAAGTATTTCTGTACTTTAAACATCATCCTTATCAGAAGTGAAATGGGATCTCTGATTGTGAGCTTGGGCTCCCTCTTTGAGGCTTTTCGGTTTGTTGATTGCGGACAGAAATATTTTGCCTCAGACTTTTACTATGCAAAATCTCAGATATCACAAATAATAAGTTTGTTTTCTAAAAGTCACTGAAGCATCACAGCAAAACTAAATTCTTTGACTTTTAGAGCCGCGATCGTAGAAATATTGAATGGCTTTAGAACTGACCTTTGTTACTGCCCACTGTTTTTGTTGGCCCTTCCCTACCGAGGTATGGCGTTTTCAGGGCTCAGATGAAAATGATCATATCTGTAAAGAAATAAATCTAAGTTTGCAGTTCATCCGAGTAATTAAAGTTGTAACCCGAGACTGAAAATGTCAGCCCACTATGTTCCTTTTCACTGACCGAGGAACTTACGGCATGCTGTGTTTGAACTTGCATTTGCCTGTCGAAGAATAGTAGAAGGAAAGGTGGTGGGTTTGCGGCCTGTGTGGATTTGTCCTCAAAATATAGAGACTCTGTGGAGCAAGATCTGAGTCTCCTTTGACACAGGGGCCCATACCTGATGTGTGATGTAAGCAGAAGGCCCGAGGGTCACATTACAGGGGGACCTTGTTTACGGACTGTAGATGTCTGGGCAGTTATAAGTAGGGTGGTGGGAGGGAAGTGGGTTTCAGGAGAACGAAGCTTTTCTGTGATTACTCTATTAAAAATGCTGCCGCCCACACAATTATAGTGGGTGGTAACCGTAATTAGGATAATATTTTTTAGGATTAGAAATTGTGCAGTTCATGAGTTTTGTATAAAAACAAAGCAAGTGTGATATTTGTACAAATAAAAAGTGTATTAGCTAAAAGAAAGATTTTTAAGTTTAAAATTTCGACAGTCAAATAGTCTAAGATTTTCATATTCCTTGAATCAGTTTTGGTAAGGAAAAGTTAGTTCGTTCTCTTCCTCCCTCTCTCCCTCCCTGTCTCTCTGTCTCTGTCTCTCTCTGTCTCTGTCTCTCTCTGTCTCTGTCTCTCTCTCTTTCTCTCACTCATTCAATTAGGACATGTTAAAAAGAAAGCAAAGCAAAAGAAAACAGATATAGCTTCATGCTTTCTTCATGCCTTCTGGTCTTCCTGGCCATGCCTGCCAAGCCATTCTCCCTTTCTGCTCTCACTGCCCCTGCACCTGACCTGTGACACAGCTGTATCAGACCGACCACTTCCTTTCAACCATACTGGCATTGTTTACTGTACATTCCGCCTGGCAGGTGACAAAGGCAAGTGGCCTTTAGGTCAAGTTAACCTGGAAGGTGTGCTAAAAGCCATTAGCCATGAGCTGAGTGGAGTTGCCCTCTGCAGCTGGGAGGAAGCAAGCAACACTTACCAGCTACCTGGGTTTTTTAAAGGCACTTGAGGCAGGGAGCATGAAGGGCAGGAGAGAGTACTCCATTTGGGTCTATATGGTTACTCTCTCTATTACCATTTTTTAAAGCATCTGGGTTTGTTAGTTTTTCAACTAGAGAATATATTATTATTTATATCTGTCTATTAATTGGAATGTATCAAAAAGGCTCTTTTTGGTGGTGGTGGTTGCTAAGTTTGCTTTTAAGTAAATTTTAAATCACAATTGCTGATTCCCATTATAGTTCCTTAGCTTATGAAAGGGAAGATCTTTATTTCTGTGGTCTCGTGTGAGTATAAGCTTTAACTTGTTAGGATTTCAGATTTTATCTAGTCTGTCTTCTGTGGTGTAGTGTCCTTGTTGGAATGAGTGACCTTACAGGGGTCTGGGTGTCACTATTGAAACTTGTGCAGTCTTCCTTTGGTTTCTACAACTGCCTGTTACTTCCTATAAATCTGACTGCTTCCCACCTTTTCTTACATTTCTGAACTCCCGTTGAGTTATGCTGTCTTCCTGGATTTCTAGATTTTATCACATGGGTTATACCTTAGCAAATGTATCCTTGTGGCAAAGAAGGCTGGGAAAGGAAGGGACTGAGCAGGGGACTGGGGACTTATCGACAGCAGATTGAACTGCGTGTGACTCTAGTATGGAAAGCAAGCCCTTCCCCATGGGTCTTATCACAACTTCTTGACAAAGTTCTAAAAATACTCAATGCCTTTTAGCAGCAGCACAGGGTTTCCAGGGGAGAAGAGGCTATGCTGGGTGGAAGGGGCTCAGCGGGAATTCGCTGGCGGCGAGTAAAGCAAGTCCTTGTGCCTTTATAGGTTTCGAAAGTGACACAGACTGGGAAATCACATTCAAAATGCAGGACTATAACAAAGATGATATGTCCTATCGAAGGATTTCAGCTATTGAGCCAAAGTCTGCCCTACCATTCAATCAGTTCTTGCCCAACAAAAGTAAACAGCCATCCTACGTGCCAGCGCCTCTGAGGAAGAAAAGGACAGACAAAAATGAGGATAACAGAAGAAGCTGGGCAAGCCCAGTCTACACAGACTCAGATGGGACATTTTCAAGGTAATGCCATGTGGTTATGGAGTTCAGTGTGTCTTCTGAAGCTGCGGTACTATTTAATGTAGCTAAGGGAATGGTTCCTAACATGTAGTTAACACCTATCACTAATGGGGATTTCTTTTCCTACCTGGATTTTCACTCTATTTTACATATGTTTCAGAACATCAGCATCTGAGGAGTAGGCCTTCTTTTAGATGCATGTCCTCAGTTTATTGGCGTATTTCTGGTCACTGGATCAATGATGTGGTCCGTTGTGAGCCCTGCGTGTTTCCTTCAGTTATATTTCTTTTTTTGTGGATAGCAGTGGACATGGAAAGAAACCCTTAATTTCCTACCAAATTATCAAAAAAGCAAAGGATGATATCCCAAATCTGTCTTTTTGTATGCTGTGCTGTGCGATTCTGAGAGCGGTTCTAACCCTGTTGATGAGTGAAGGTTTGCCTGATGTGGTTTTGGATGACTTAGTCAATTGTAAATTTCATGTGAAAAAGAGACCTGAGGGGTTCATCTCCCAAACTACTGCTTTCAACTCTTGTCCTCAAGCATTTTCTTTTGATATGTTAGCCTCTGGGCTACACACACTGATGAGGTCAGAAATATATTTGTCTGGCATCTGAGTGTCTATCATGCTATTGATTGAATTGAGAAAGCAACATCCAATCTGTCTGCAATTTGTCTTTCTCATAACACAGCCTTGTACATCTAGCTTTTCTCTAATGTGAGTGAGGTGCTGCTGTAATATCTCAATTTGGTCCTAAGAGCCGTGGTGTGGAGCCTGGGAGTTAATTTGCTTCATTCACAGGGGTAAGGTGGAATGAATACCCTTTGGGGTTCTGTGCCACAAACTGCTCACCCAGTGTCTTAACGTGGTTGGATATTTTGAACAGTAACCGGAGGAGGACTTGGGGTCCCAAGATGGAGCGCTGGCACACAGTCCACGAAACGTCAACCTCCTCTTGTTATTTGGAAGAGGAGGAAGAAAAGATAACGCGCATACCCAACCTTGTGAAGGACGATCTCTATGTAAGGAAGTTGAGTCCAGTCATGCCAAGCCCAGGGGGTTCTTTTGATCAGTTTCTTCCCAAGTGCTGGAGCCCAGAAGAGATGAGCTGGAAAAAAATAAAGAGGGAGACTTATAAGCCATGGTATAAGGAGTTTCAGGGATTCAGGTTTGTCTTTGTGCATGCCCCTGGCCTGGTGTTTGTTCTCTGCCCCAGTCTTTGGTACATTCTGTGTCCTGTTTCTTCAGTTAGGGATAGAGAGAGGCTTATTTGCCCTATAATGTCTGAGAAACTTGCATAATTATAAAAATAATGTTTAAATTTAATCCTGAGGCTGGACATGGGGGCACATGCCTACAAGCCTAGTCCTCTGGAGGCTGAGGCCAGGAGGATTTAAAGTTCGAAAGGAGCCTAGGTTTCAAAATAAAACCCCTTCTCTGAAACCAAAGAGGGCTTTTTGACCTACCTTAAGCTCACTTGTACCCCTGGGGGCACCTTTTATTTTTTATTAATAATCTGACCATGATTTATGTTATTATTATTAAAACCCAGCAATGACAACAGCATGGTTAAAAAGAACTTTAGATCCTAGCCTTTGAAAAGCCCCCTTGCGTATTTAGCTTGGCATAGATTTCGGCACTTACACTCTCCATTTCTTCTCTCCTTCTTTTCCCCCCTTTCTCCACCTCACTCCATGGCAGGTGGAATTCAGACTCTGAGGATGAGGACTCAGGCTCCCTCAGAAGTGCCACGCTTTTTAGTAGACTAGAAAAGGCAGAGAATAGGTTAGCCAGCAACTACCAAAAACCTTCACTCTTGCTGGAGCTAGCCACCAGACGTGCCATGAGGTCACAGGACGCCCATGCAGCCAGGAGGACCAGCGGTGCTTTGAGAGAGTCCAGGTGCACCTGTCTGAGCTACCTGCTTGTGACTGACCTTGGGCACCTTATCTGCCTGCTTCCGCTGCTACATTAACCTAGGCCCTAAATATTGAGTCATGGAAATTTAATGACATAGGAGAAGGGCACAGTGTGTAACATACTGCCTTCTGCATGAGGGAGTGTTGGCACATGGCTATAGGAATCAACATGCTATTAATGCAATAACGTGCAAGGTAGTTAGTATTTATATGCATGAATTCTTGCTGAAACCCTGTTACAAAAATGCTTTTTAAAAAAACTGTTTAAATTTACTGTTGTGAGAAGAGAAAAGAAATCCTTTTAGATAGACACTGGGAAGGGTAAGTCTGAAGAATCCAAACCTAAAAACACAGAAGGACTTTTATAAGCCTCGCGATCACTCTGTTATTTTTACGACCATGATGTGCACTATGATGCAAAGTATGTGATGGCCAACTCATCACTTTCTAAGATCATGCATCCTTCTCTAGGGAGGGGATGAGGCTACTATGGAGAATAGAATTAGGAAGATGGTACTGGGACTGGTACCCATGCTTATCCCAGGGAGGTTCACATGATCAGAGTTATAGATCCATCTCTTGTCCTTGACAGCATTCAAATTTCCTGGGAAGTATAACCTGTGGCTGTCTCTTTAGATGACACCCAGGAAAGTCATACTAGTGCTGAGTATTTGTCTTGTTTGTTACACTCCCTCCTGTGGCTCCTAATAATTCATCCCGATAAGTACTGGTTTGTTTGCTGGCTAATTACCATTCTTCTCATACTTAATACAACTCTCCCTTCCTTTTTCTTTTCTGTGCTTCAGTCAGTTTTTATTGCTTCAGGCCCTTCAGACATACTCTGATGACATCTTGTCTTCGGAAACAAATGTCAAACTCGATCCCACCTCTGGCCCAAGGCTCATAACTCGCAGAAAAAATCTCTCTCACACACCAGGCTATCAAGCAGATGACCTTGAGCTGACAGCCTTGGATCCTGACTTAGAAAATGATGATTTCTTTGTCAGAAAAACTGGGGCTTTCCGTGCAAATCCTTGTGTTTTTCGAGCCTTCGAAGACTTTCGAAGGTTCTCTGAGCCAGACGATGCTGTTGAACGAGATATAATTTTGCAGTGTCGGGAAGGTGAACTTGTACTTCCAGATTTAGAAAAAGACGATATGATTGTTCGTCGGATCCCAGCACAGAAAAAAGAGGTGCCACTGTCTGGGGCCCCCGACAGATACCAGCCAGTCCCTTTTCCTGAACCCTGGACCCTACCTCCAGAAATCCAAGCGAAATTTCTCTGTGCCCTCGAAAGGACATGCCCTCCCAAAGAAAGAAGCAGTAGCTGCCGAGTCTTAGTCCCTTCCCACCGACAGAAGAGAGACGACATGTTGACTCGCAAGATCCAGTCGTGGAAGCTGGGGACTGCTGTGCCTCCCGTCAGCTTCAAGCCTGGCCCCTGCAGTGAGGCCGACCTGCAGAAGTGGGAGGCCATCCGGGAGGCCAGCAGACTTAGGCACAGGAAGCGGCTGATGGTTGAGAGGTCAGAGTGTGTTTCTGCAAGGATTTGGCTTGTGATGGATGATGGTCTTGTGTAAATTTCCTTATGAAAAAAAAGCCGCCTCAGTTTTCTCAGCTCTGCATGTTGTGTGCCGTTTTGAAGCATCCTGTAAACAATTATTTGGCTTTGAGAAACTTTTTAGTCATTTCATGGAAGAAGTTCAATTCCATATTTACACGTCTTAGGATGATTTGAGAAGGTATATGCAAAGCTTGCCTCTGGCTTGGGTTTGTCCATCATTTTGTTCCAGTGTGAAATTGGATGAAAGTATTTTCTAATTGTGTTTTTGCAGGTTTTTATCCTCATGTCTAGCACCTCTGTAGTAGTCTGGCTGTGGTTTGGTTTTACGTGTTTATCCTATTTTGCAGTGTCTTTTATTGAGCTAAATATTTTCCTAAAATATGTCGCTGCAGATTTCATTTAACTTGATTTTTGTTGTTGATCTAGGTTTCTTGAACTATCAATTTGTAGTATGTTTTATCTGTAGAGTTCAGTGCAAGCACCATTAAAATGCATGAGTCTGTCAAACTCCGTTTGTAGTTTTGACCATTTGGGTAACATAAGCCATGCAACTTTCTGAGAGCTGTTCTGTTCACTGTAAGTTGGGAATGGGCAAATTTGACTAGGCTGAATATAATGAATGGCCCTAAATCTCTACCTTAGTTCCTGGCAAGGGGAGACCTTGTCTTACGAATTCGCTGGCTCAGAATACATTAAGAAAATGTTGTTATTATTTGACTCGAGTTCCAGGAGGCTGACTAAAACTTGAAATATTAAGAAGTGGCTAAGGGCCAACTTGTTCAGATTCGCCCATTTCCAGTTAGACTCAATTTAAAGATGTTTAATGCTGATAAGCTAACACAGCTGGAAAGAGTGACCCTTTTAACCTTTGGTTTTTTGGTTTCTTAGACTCTTTCAAAAGATTTATGGTGAGAATGGGTAAGTTTTGTGGTTCACGTTAACAACAAATGTGCACATTTGTGTCTCCTGTGACTTGCTGCACCAGTGTCTTAGCATGTTACTAAATGGGCTGCAATGTCCAGTGCATGGGAATTTTATTTACTTTTGATTAATATTGCCACCACAAAGCAGTATTTTTGCATCTAAATGCCCAGTGCAATGCATGAACTGCTATGTAAAGCGATAACAGTTTTGCTGTATTAAATTTTAATTCTATCCCTTTTACTTCTCATTTAATGGTTTAAAGTAGCAAGAGCCCAAGAATATGTTCATTTTGGTATTTGATTCCTAAAATTCACTAAGCTTCTGGTTTCTAGTTCTTGAAGGTCTCCCTGACAAACTGCATTTGGGAAAGTCTATGATAGGAAAAGACATTACTGCTTGCTTAGTGCAAGAATTCATGCAGCTTGCAAAACTCATGCACTTAGCTTATGAGGAGCTTTGCTAGTGGGGAATGTTAATATTTTGGGGGAAATATTTTTAAGGTTCTTGATTAGTTGTAACATGACTGCCTATGAAGAGCAAAGTAGACTTTCAAAATTATAAAATAATCTTGGTAGTTTCCAATGTTGTTACAAGAACTTTATTTAAACTATTTCTCAGATTTGGTCTACTGGTATTTAATATTCATTGGGTAAACATGACTAATATAAAACTGACTTTCTCAATGTTTTTCCAAGTTCTAAACTATTTTAAACTAAGTCAGTTATTCTCAACCCAGCATCCCCAGGCTCTCTGTAACTGTGGAAGTTATTGGTAATAGTTTGAGGAAGAGAGTGAAAGCTGAAAAAAAAACCCCAATATTTTAATCAGTCTTGGGACTTGAGTATCTTCCCCTTACCATGGTTCATCTTGTCTCTCAGAATCTCTAATTTTAAGAGTTTTTAATAATCTCAGTAGTTTAGAAATATTTAGAAGCTACCAAGATTCTGGCTGAATTATCACAGCATGATAACACTATCACAAGTCTAGATAATTGAAATATGATTGAGTGAGGAGCAACTGTTACAATGACTCCTTCCCGGATGGCGTGTGAAGGCACATTGTCCCTTCCTCACTTGTATCCACAGCCTTGTATGCTCACAAGGGTCTCATCTGTGAGGGTGAAGAAGTCAGTCTTTGGTACAACACTCCAATATCTGATCATACTTGTCATAGGAACGCTGTTTTAACTTGATTTAAAGTCCTCTTGAGCCTTCAAGCATTCTAAACATTCATGAGGAATTTTCATTTGTAATCATGTTTGACTTTGTAGCCAAACCACATCCCTGGAACAGTTTTCTAAAGGCGGCACAGGTACCGAGAGTCTAAGTACTTGTGCTATGTAAACACATAACTAACTACCTTTCTGTCTTGACACTACCTGTTTTTCCATAGTGTAGGGGTTGTTATGAGACTTGAATTACCCCTGGCTCAATGGTTGAATTCATGCCTAGCTTGCCTGTGGCTGTAAGTTCATTCCCCAACACTCTGCACCCACCCTAACCACAAACACCATGAAAACTTAGATATTCAACCTCAGGATGCTAAGGTATTTTTTTCTGATCCTTAACAGACAGCAGCAAATGCTTCCACTAGACAATTCCAAGTAATTTTTTGATTATTTGGATAACACAGGGTTTGCTTTAGAAGCTGTTTCAAAAATTCTCATGCAGGGTAGTACTAAGGCAGCTACACAAATAAAGCAAGATGACTGGTTAATTGAGACCAATGAATAATACATGACTTGTAATGGACTTGGTGTGTCTTAGAAAATGCAGCTCTGTTTAGGAGAAGTTGTAGGTTTATTTCTTTTTTTCTTTTTCTCTTAAGTTTATAGTTATCAGTGATTTCCTTACATTGATTTCTTACAATGAGATTAAAATATAAGTTAACATTGAATTACTTATAGGCATTTAATGTACAACTTACTTCACATTTATGCTAGGTGAACTTTCTCCAAAAATAATATCGTAGAAAAGCAGTACTGTTTTATACCTTGTAATTAAAAACTAACTGCCCATCTTGTGAATACTTTCTTTGTGGTAAAGACCAATTTGAAGAGAAATGTGTAGTATTTTATTTTGGTTCTTTGCCTACTAAGTCCTAGCTTGCACTTTATGTGGTTTTTAGTGCTTCTGCATGCTATGTAAGTGTTTTACTAAGCTTTACTTGGCATGTAACACATTATGTTTAGTACGATGCTTTCTATGTGGCTTCCAGTTCTCAAGTGTGTGTCTTTGTGTTGCATGAATTTCCATTTGTGTGGTTCTATGAAGTTTTGGGACTGGTTGGGTCTGATACAAACATGGTACTGACAAAGTTTACAAAAAAAATGTATTAACCATCTTGAAATGTGATAGCCACTAAACTTCTTATCAGTATCACAAGGAGATAAATACCAATTACATGTGAATTGGCAGTCAGAGACAACTAAAGAAGTTATACTTTTCTTATAGAGCTCGACCAAATGGCTTTGTAGGATTATCAGGATATATCATCAAGGCAGGCAGAAAGGAAGGGAGACAAGCTGACTTCGGTTATTTTATGCAGATTTTCTTTTCCACTACAGGTGACATCTAGTTATATCTAGAATACTTCTCATATTGCAGCCAAGTGTGTGTGCTATCTACAGTTACTGCTTTGTGCATGTCCTACAGTCCCCAGGGTAACCCCAGGGGAGCTCTCTAAAGCAAACGATTTTCTGGCTGAAATATTAATAGCGTTGGTGCTGAAAAGTCCAAATAAGTAGGCAAATCTCTAAATAAAAATTTCTTCTTATGCTCTCTTTATTTTATTTGATGGTAATTTCAAAATGTGTCACACAGATTTTTAACACTGGTTATTGTTCACAAAACCGTATAGGGTCCAGTGAAAATATACAGTTAGATAAATTATTATATTTATATTGCTTTCACAGGTACCACTCCTTAACTTACTCTTTTTAAATTTCTATTTGCTACCCAAGGCTGCAAAGTCTGCCTTATATTGTCTCCTTGGACTCTCTCTTCTATAGACCAGTGATTCTTAACTGTGGGTTGTGACTCCTTTGGGGTTTGAACAATGTTTTCACGGGGTAACACAGATATTTACATTACAGTTCATAACAGTAGAAAAATTACAGTTATGAAGTGGCAACAAAAAGAATTTTATGGTTGGAGTTGCCACAATACGAGGAACTGTATTAAAGTGTCACAGCTTTAGGAAGGTGAGAACCACTGCTCTAGACAGTCTGCTGTAAGTTCACTGAAGCTGGATTTCAGGAGAATGGCCCTATTTCCCTCTGAAACTGCCAGGAGCACCGCTTGTAGTCGGAGAAGTACAAGGAGATCAGTGATTTGTAGGTGACCTTCCTAAACTTCTTCCTCTCCCTCCCCTCTAGTACTGTTAAATTAATTGAAAAGGCAAGATGCTTGGTACACCTGCGTTTTTGGATTGCAAATATAAATGAAGCTGTAAATTAGAGCCTTCAGAATAAGGAATTGTAACCAATAGTAGCAGGCAGTTTTAAGAGAACGGCATGACTTACCTGCTCATTGTCCGTGCTGGGCTGTCCTTCGTAATTTCCTGGATGCTTTCTTTGGTGCTTATCTCAGTTCTGTGAGGGAGACAGGTGGGTGTTATCTGCATTCTGTAGACAGAGATTGCAGCTTTCCCAAGGATGGAGGCTCTCAAGTAGTAGAACCGGACTGGGGCTGTGCCTCATGAGGCAACTCACAGAGACTGCTTGGCAGGGTTGTTGCCACTCAAGGAACTCCTGGGACTTTAATGTCATGTGGTTAATGCTGATAAAGAAAGAAAGACTTCATCATCTTTGTACTCTAGAAGTTCTAGATTTTATCTGTGTGGTCTGGGGCCACCATTCTAATGTGAAAGCAGTTTATAGCGTTAGCATTTACACAGTTCCATTTGGTCACATCTGCCTTAGGAAGAATTAGTATACAACCCCAGATTTTTAAAAAGTGCACCAGCACAGCCTTACCTAGTTATCATAACTTAGTAGAGGAGGAGCCAAGGCTCTGAGAAGGGAACTAATTGATGTCTGTTCAGTGGGAGGGAAAAGCCTATGTTGCAGCTGAATCTAAAGCCCCAACTTCTTGTCTCTTGCTGAAGTCTCCGCAGATTCCTATGGCAGGTGCTGCTGCTTTAATGGGGGGTAACTTTCCATAACCCAGAAACAAATTCTGTTCACAACCTCGCCTATTAAAAAAAAGACTTTTCTATCCTAGACCAGGTTCAGCTCGGCTTTGTTCTTGTCATGTGCCTCTGGGCTGCTAGGCTTAGCTCAATGCTCAGGCAGTGGAGAGAGGCAGCGTGACCTTTGACTGGCATCCTGTGTGGGAAAACCCACAGCAGTGCTTCCCAGGCCAGGAGGAAGAGAGTAAGAGCAGCCACAGGAGGTTCTGGGCTGGTTACAAAATGATTCCACTCTCTTTCCAAGGAAAGACTAGTGTACTATGAATTAATATTTCCTTTTTGTTTTACTACAGTCTGTGCAGCGTCATGTGGTGCACGGCCAACCTCCCCTTACGTCTTGGATCTGCACATTTTCTTGCCATTTCTTACTGAGTATTTTTGTTTGAACTCAAAAGGCCTCTTTGCTTGTAGGCATGACTTCTGTCAGTATATAGTCTTAAATCCACACAATCTAATTTAGTATATAGTTAGACCTAGTGAGAGGTATATTATACATGTGTAGGTTCATATTCATAATATAGTCATAATTCTATATGTAATTGATTCCCTACTAAACATAGGCAATGCTATAAAAGTGATGCTTTCCCACAGGCCAGTTCAGGCTAACTGTGCTCCAGCTAACTCTTAGCACAGATACTAAGTGAGCGAATCTGCATGTATGGTGCTCTGCTAGCTAGTATTTTCTTTCCAAATAACATATGGCTTGTGAGAGGGACGATCTAGGTATGCTTGTACATATATAAGATAGAGTCAAGAATTAGCATCATGAAAAATGCTTTAGCTAAACAGGTGAGAGAAAGAGCAGCTCACTTTTCCCTTGGAAGAGCCACAAAGGCTGTAAGCGAGTGGTAGAGCACTATCTAGGTCATCGATTTGATGCGCTTATGGAGTATTCACTACGCGCCGGTCTTTGTTTTAAACCTAGTGATATATCAGCACAATCAGACGTAATTCCCAGTAATCTTACAGGTAACAGGGAGTAAGACTATTCTAGATGTCAATAAACGTTCAAGGAGAGAGGGTTAGGGTGGGATCAGCCCCGGGAGACATTTGTAGAATCTCGTAGGCTGGAAAGAGAAGGAAACACTGCATAACATTTAAGTGGATGCTTGGAAGTGGAGTGAAGTCATTGCTTCTTGCTGTCTTGCTGGATAAGGAATATTATGGCAGATTGAAGAGCAAGGGGAGAAGCAAGAGGCATGAGTATGTGCAAGACAGTTACTTGGCAGGCAGAGAGTGAGACCAGGGCACAGTGTTAGAAATGAGTATGGAGAGGCAGGAAGGAACCACATCATGCCAGACCATGCAGGTTGTTGAAGAAATCTACTTAGAACTTTGATGGGAAGAAGCTCAAGTCCGGAGTTGGGTGTGCCATGACCTAGCCGAGACTTAGAAAGGTCCCTCTAGCTGCTCCTTTGAGCACGTTGAAGCTTGGTGGTGGAGCAGGAAGATCTTTGGGATTCTCCAAGTGGATGATGTGATGGTGTAGGTCAATATGGTGAGGAGGAAGAGGTGAGAATTGTTAGATGTAGAAACAGAGAGCAGAAGAGTTGTGGATGGAGTAAGTGTTATGAGAAGAAGAGAGGAATCTGGGTGACTCCAAGCTTTTTGGTCCAAACTCTGAAGGATGGAATTGACCTTCACTGAATTGAGGAAGACAGATGGTGAGCCGGTAACTGTGGAGTGAGCCTAGCCATGGTTTGGATTAGCATTTTACAAAGGAGAGAGGCACCAGCAAAGAACTTTTGGGTTGGAGGGAGCATTTGAGGAAAGCCTTCTCTGATCATTTAAGCAGCCTTTTTGGCAATCCAGAGGAGGGTTGCCTGTGCCTTGATCTAGACTGTGATGGCAAGCGGAATGGAAAAGAAAGCGGCATTAAACGAGAAGATAACTAACTGAAAGCGAGGAAGAGAGAGAAACAAAAGCGAAAAGTGGTTCTTAGGTTTCAAATGCAGATGACGGAGGGCACGTACCACCATTAACCCCCACAGAGGGAAAGCAGGATAGAGATTGGCTGCGCCAACAATAACATCATGTTTTAGTGAGGTGCAGTTTAAAACACTCCTTTCCAGATAACATTGCAGCAGGTCGCTTTACAGTCAAGGTACCTAGGGTATTTTCAGGAATAAATGCCTATTCATGGGGAATTGGAAACGAGTCAATGAGGGCAGGTCCTAGGCTGTAGCCTCTAGAGGCATTTGCATGGTAGTTACCGTTGCTTTCTGGAACCCACCTAGTTTGATGGAAAAAAAAAAAACGTGATGGCGAGCTGTCAGGAGAATGCAAAACTTAGGTGCCCAAGGATTCACTAATACAATGAATAATATAGTTACTTACAACGTAATACGCAATAGCAAAGAACATTTCATCTACCTCTGAAACTTTCTGGATCTATCACCCTCTTGCTGCTGTCTGTGAGGTCTTTCTCATCCACGTAGTCTGTATAGGAGAACTAGTCATAGTCCAACTTAGTCGCCAATTTAAGTGAATAAGCTTCTCTACAGCTGGGAAGCAGCTTTATACTCTTTGAGAGTTCAAAGTCTATCAGAAGATCATAGTTTTTACACCAGCCTTTAAAATATGTAACAGTAATGGGGAAAACTGGCTTTGAAACCCTACTCAGGCTTTACTTCCTGATTGTGAATGTCCATGTTTGGGGCTGCAAATTAGGCTGTAAATCCTGCCGTGAAGAAGGAGAGGGAATCTGAGGTGGTTCTGACAGGCTGTGGGAAACTACCTTGGTCTTCTGAGAGTTTGTCCAGCTGCAGTGGTACTGTAGACCTTAGAGAATTGTTGAGAAGACACAGCACATCTTTTCCTGGTGTTGAACTTGAGCAGAAAATATCAGGTAGTCACTAAATTATTTAGCAAGTGCCTAGCAAAACCAGTCAAACTTTACTAGGTTAGCTTTGAGGGAGCATAGACAAATTCAGTAACGTGATGTTAGTGACTGATGGTTTCCTGCCCCCAAGATAATCTTAGAGATTATTCCTCTAAATACAAGCACTGCATTATTAGTTTCAGAACTGTTCAAGGTTACTTAGAGCATTTTGTGGAAAAAAACACACACACACACACAAGCATCTCACACCTGAGTTGAATGCTAGGCTCTCGTTTCTGTGCTTTGGAAAAACACCATTTATCTGTGTCGTGCTATTTCAGGGCACTATCAACAAAGCATCTGGGTAGGGCAGTAGATATTTAGGTGGAATTTCTAAATAGAAGCCCAGTCTTCATGTGAGCCCTCAGGTCCAGCCACAAGAACCTTTGTGATGGTAGGTGTTTTTGTGACAGGAGCAAGTCCATGAGCGATGTCACCGCAGAGGATATTCAGAACCTGCGTCAGCTGCGGTACGAAGAGATGCAGAAAATCAAATCCCAACTGAAAGAGCAAGATCAGAAGTGGCAGGATGTGAGTACTGGGGGAGGAGGGGGACCATGGTGCGCTCCCTGCTTCTCTCAAGGAAATTAAAGTACTTAAGAGACATTTTTCCTTGACATTTTAGCATTCAGTACTATAGAAAATGTACTGTTGTATGTCTTGAAGACCATTCTAAAAATATAGAAATATGCTTATTTTCCAAGAGACTATGAGCTCTCAAAGAGTAGAAAGTTCCTGCCTAGCAGGATAGTAAACTTGCTTACACAGGAGAGTGAGGTATGACTACTAATTATGCCTCTGCTAGCAAAACAGCATTGATCAAGATTGAGATTGAAGGGGAACAGGATCTAGCTCAGATCTTGGCATCAGTGGGGAGAGATGAAGAGTTCTCATAGTTACTCAGAGATTGGGATGAAATACAACCCAGAGTAATATTTTGACTGAAGTCAGTATCTATTGTGATTCAAAATTAACTGTGTCAAGAGAGCTGGCATATCCAAGTGTTTATGTAGACATAGACTTAACCTTTATCTCAAATCTTAGAGAAGAAAGTATAAGTCTTTTAGCCGAACAAGGTAATTATTATAAGCTACAGGAATATAAGGATCTGTAAAAGATAAACCAGACTCCCAAGCCCAAAGAAGTTAGAGCGCAGCTTTATGGTAAGAGGGTTGAGTGACAAGAGCAACAAGAGCACCAGAGAAAGCCAATATTAATGTCTGAAGATAGTACATTGCTAAACTCCAGTGCCCTCTAGTATGAAACTTGATTTAATGATCAAGAAACAGCACTTAGGGCTTAGTGTGAGAACTTGCCTTGTGTGTGATGCTCCAACTTCAACCCTCAATCTCTGTAAAAACCAGTAAAGAATTAGTATTACTTTCCCAAAACACAAAACAAGTTTTTCTTTTTAATAAGAAAATGATTATCAAGGTGGGATACCCATTAGATGTGAGCAAATGAACATTTGGGTCAATTTATTTCTTTTGGGAAAAATAGTCCATATTGGTTTCAGGACATTTGAAAAGCAGGGTTGGCCCTAGGTGCCCCAAAAGATTTATAGGCAAACTTGGGAAAGCTGGGATGAGGTCCAGTTTTGTCTGAGACCTTGAGTATACTTCCCTTTGAACTGAGATTTCTTTTGAAATCCTTAGTATAGTATTTCTCTGATTTGGAAATGGAGAAATATTTGAAGCATTCAAAATGCTTCAATCCCTGAATGTCACAACTGGCTCCTGAAACTAGGGATGCCTGCATTGGATAGATTGTCCAGGATGATTTAAAACATACTTCTGGAGATGTGGGAAGCAAGTATGGGCTTGTGCCACTATGATGGTCCCTGTTCTCTCCCCAGTAGACTATATTCTCTGAAATCATAGTCGGTCCAAGGCGATTTGTGGTCTCTCCTTCTGTAGGTAGAACTCACTTTTCCTTTAGGACCCCTGCTCTTCTCAGTAGACCTACCCCGTTAGGCACTGATCTTTACGTATAGTCTACCTTGTTGAGGGGAATCACATTAAGGTATCTGTGTGCCTATATTAATAAGATTGACCATTTACTTAAGCTGGACTGTTACGGGGACATTTCTGTCCCTCACATCACAGTAAGCATATGAATCAGGGGTTTGAAGTACTATGAGATTGAGATTAAAATATTTCCTGATCAACCTGACCTAGTACTTAATTGTAAGCCTTTAGCATTCTTTGAGAAATGGACATTGATGTGATACTTTCTTGGATAACAAAAGTGGGATCTCTTATTAGGTCAGGTTTTTCTGTCAGGCACATGAGATAAAAGCTTAGTACAGAAACACTGGCTATAAAAAGCAAAAATAGGGCACCTTGGCACAGGTGGGTGTGAGAGCTTTCAGCGTTGTAATAGGACTCCCCAGCATGCTCCCGCCGCAAGGAAAAAGTGTGTAGAAATTCAGGTATGACCGGGCCGATGGGATTTCTTGTCAGGATCTTGCAAAATGGAAAAGTCGCCGGAAGAGTTACAATTCAGATCTGCAGAAGAAGAAGGAGGAGAGGGAAGAGATCGAAAAGCTGGCCCTGGAGAAGTCTGACCGAAGCTCCAAGACATTTAGGGAAATGCTGCAGGACAGGTAAAGGGCCGGGGCCTTTTGTGTTTAGAGATCCCAGTGTTGGAAATGGAAGCTCTGCCTGGGGTGGGGTATGTGGTCACCAGCTTCAAACTGTAAACATGTATGGACCGGAAGAAGCCAGGCTGAAGCATTGAAACAATATTACTGATCTGGGCAGCAAAAGAACATATTACTTAGCACTGGTGAACAGGGCTCTTTGTCTCACACTGTACGGTCTTCTGTGTGTGTGGGGTTATTTTGCTATATTTGATAGCAAAACAAACAAAAATAAATAAAAAACCCAAGCCCACTGGTTTTTCTCCTTTTAAAGTTTAAGCATAGGGTAGTCAAATAAAATCAATTTTTACTTTTAAATAAATGTTGTGAAATCTAAGAGAGATCTTTGTTCAATTTTAGTGGTAGAGAATAAATTATGTTGAAAGATATAATATGTTTATCTATGTAAGTGTGGGTGTGTGGGTTTATTCTTTGAGTGAAATTTAAACTTTGATGTGAGCAGTTAACTGTGTGGACCTGGAGGAGAGAGAGCAAATATGCTTTAGAAACAATGTCACAAAGGACATTTGCTGCCAGGTGAAATTAAACAAAGCTCCGTTGTGTCTGAAATGCCGGTGCTCAAGACTTCCATTCCCTTAAGTCCAGCAGTCAGCCAGGGATGTGGGGACTCCCCACTAACTGCAGGGTGAAGCTGTTTCATCAGCTCTTTAAGTATGGATAATAACCTTGAATCTATTATAATTGCCCTTGGGGAGTCTGTCAAGCTCCATGAACTGACTGGTGCTCTATAAAGTCCTGAGTCTTCTGTGCTATTATTATTATTTTTTTTTTACCAATACATAATACATTTTATATAGCAAAACTTGGCAGACTCAGATCGGGGGCCAGTCATTTAAAGCATTTTGATCTTGGAAGACATAAATTTGTGGCCAAGAACCTGCAAATAGTCCCATGTGAGACCTTCCTTATTTTGTTATTAAAATAGTTTATGATTAAAAATATCCTTTGAGAGCCTCTTTCTTTAATCAAAGGTCGGGTCAGTCTCTTAACAGATGCTTAAAAGTTATGCATAATCTCATGTTAGTGTTGGTGCTAATTCTTGTTTTCCGTGAGTAACCACTTACACATCTGTTATTGTCTTACCCCATCTGGGGGCAAATGCATAACTCTGTCGAAATGGCGCATTTTTCTCTGCCCAGGGAATCTCGAGTTCTGAATTCTACAAGGAGGATGTATTCTGCCGATGATGCCCTGGATGATGAAGTACTTCATCCTACAGTGACTCTGTCTGAAACCAGCTATCAGAGAGAGAGACTGGGAGACAAGACAACAGCTTATCCTGCCGAGACGGCCAAAGAAGATTCCACAACGTTTGCAAAGAGACAGGACAGTGTAACAGCTGAGATTCAGCATCCTTCTCATATTCCTGAAGAGCAGCGGCCGGACCCTTTATTTGCTGCAGAACCACACCAGGCCCCCTTGTCTTCTGTAGAACCACACCAGGCCCCCTTGTCTTCTGCAGAACCGCACCAGGCCCCCTTGTCTTTTGCAGAACTGCACCAGGCCCCCTTGTCTTCTGCAGAACCGCACCAGGGCCCCTTGTCGTCTGCCGAGCCTCACCAGGCCCCCTTGTCTTCTACAGAACTACACCAGGGCCCCTTGTCTTCTGCCGAGCCTCACCAGGCCCCCTTGTCTTCTATAGAACAGCACCAGGTCTCTTTATCTTCCGCCGAGCCACCCAAGGTCTGTTTATCTTCAGTAGCTCTGCGTCCAGTCTCGTTCTCGTTTCAGCAGTCGCTGAGTACCAGAGGAGAGTCGACTCGGATTTCAGCTTCTCTCCCTAGAAATTACCAGAAAGCCGATACAGCCAGGTTAACATCTGTGGTCACAGCGAGACCTTTTGGCACGCAGTCAAGGGGAATCTCATCACTGCCCAGATCCTACACGGTAAAAATGTCCCAGGTTCATTTAGTCTGTTCCCAAGAGCAATGGTTTGGGGGAGCTTGAGCAGAAGCCCAGTTGGACAGATACAGGATGTGTAAAATGTTGATGACGTATACAAACAACTTTCATGAAATTTAGATTTAATAAAAACAGAGGTTTTAAACTTTAAAGAACAAATAAGATACGTTTTGAAACAGAACATTTTTTTCTTGCCATATTTTTCCTTCTTTTGAGCTCTTCTTTAGCTTTAAGTTGAGCATTATGAAATTGCCAGCAATCAGCTCTTTTCTTACCTATGATATAGCACATTCTTAAAGGCTCCCTTTAAATGTTTTGAGGATTGTATAGGTAAGGTTTTGTTCTATCCTTCCTTTAGAACTTGATGCCTGAGTCTATGTTTGTTGAAATATGTTCACTTGTGTCTCTAATGGGATTCAGCACACTGAGGACATGTTAGACTCAATTATGTAAATGAAACAATGTCTAAATATTTAATGTTCATGTTCCTGTCAGTTCTGTCCAGCTAGCCCTTAAGATCTTAAAATCTTGACATAGAGATGAGAATTATGGCTTAAGAAATCAGAATTTGAGCTGAACGAAGCCTGTGTAAATCAGCCAGGAAATCCCTGACCATCCCATTAAAGAAAATATAGACCTATTTGACAACATAAAAATTAAACTTGTATAGCAGGCAGTATATAGGACAATTTAAGTCACAGTTATTAAAAACTGCATTGGAGATAAAGGGTTGGCAATTCTAAGGTGTAAAGTATTTTATAATTTGATGAGAGGAGATAAACACAGCAAAGGAGCTGGCCAATTCAACGGAAAGGAATGTAAGGAGAGCACAAAGAGGCATGTGTAGCCTTGTGAGCCTGAGGATTAGGTAAACAACTGCTCAGCCATCTCACTGACAAGGATTTTAAATGCTGAAACTATGCATTGTTGAGGAGGTGGAGATGCAGGTGTCCTCCTGCTCATGGGTACAGGGCTGCTGTTTTCTCTGTAGAAATGAGACAGATACCACATATATAAATCCTTCAATCCAGTGAGTTTTTGGAACATCTGGGCTCTAAAATAAAAGCGCCATTTACAAAGGGAGGCTGGAACTTGTTGTGGTGCTTTTGGGAAGCAAAGGACAGCTTTTAACAATTTCATTATGTATCAAATGAATACATGATTGACATCCACACTGTGGGGTTTCCAGCAATGGAAAGACCGAGCTTGGAGTTGTATCTCTTGACCTGGAGTAGTATGAACAAACAAAGCAAGTTTTAGAAAACTATACATAATCATGCTTTTATTAGAAAGAGTGTTTCTCTGCTGCTGCATATTTGGTGGTGTGAAGGAATGCGCTCCACGTTTGTGACAATAGTTACTTTTTTGTGGCAGGTGGATGTTATTTTAGAGGCTTTCAAAAGAGGTTTTTAAAAGTGAACCCAAGGCTAGCAGAATATGGGGTTTAAAATGATGTTTCCTATCTAGATGGATGACAGCTGGAAGTACAATGGCGGTGTTGAGGTTGTCAAGAGACCTCAACGGAATTTCGTCATAGCCCCTGCCCCGAAGCTTGACTCCACCCAGTTTGTTTTGGGTTCATCCAGTGAAAAGGAGGCAGCCCCAGGAGAAGATGTGGCAAGCGTGTCCTCTTCCACACCCCTTTCTTCGCTCTTGCAAGACCAGGCAGCCACTTCAAAAGCCACACACTCTGGAGAAGGGAGAAGCTCACCACTGAGGGACATTTCAAGGTCCCAGGTAAGTTTGGGGGGGAGGGTTCTTAGTCATCTGTCTCAGATGTGCAAAGATTTCAATCTGGAAACTGTTGTTCTAGCCTCTGGCTCGTACAGTACAGGCTGCTATTTATATTATGCAAAAATATACTGGTCTATTTTTAACAGATTGTGGAGGAAGTAGATCTTTCCAACTTTTAGTTTGTAGATCTCAGACATTCTCCATGAGCTGTGTCTCAGGAGACGTGGTCCACCAGTCTCCTGGGACGTTTGCCTGTAGTTTTTCTTACTCCACAGTTCTCTGGTTTCTGCTGCAGACCTAAGGTATGTGTGAGTAAGCAAAAGCCCGTCTCCGTGGAAACTAACCAGGAAGAAACTGTCCTAGTGAGTGGATGCTTCTCTCTAGGGACACAGCTCTGTGTTTTCTCTTAATCTTCTTGTGACTTTTCATAGTAATTTCTACTTTCGAATGGGCACATTTGCTGTCATCCCTTGTCTCTTAGAACAATGATGCCTAGTCACAGCCTGACAACTGCGGATCTGAACATTTGGATTCCAAATAAAATACGCCAGCAGATTAGAAACGAATGGGGGTATTTGCCATTTTCCCGTTTAAAAGCCTAACAGATGGCTTTCAAGAGAATTATTAGGTGATATACTTCCTTTCCGTTTACATGTTAAACCCGCTAAAAGTCTTTGTCAAGCTAGCAAAACTTCTTTTAAAAAACCAAAAGCCAGCAACACTCTGGTTAAGCAACTTGCTAGTGTAAGCCTCTTTTCATGGAGGCAGTTTTGGACTTTGACTTGGTCCATAATTCCCTGCTGTCTTACTGGAGCATAGTTTTCCAAGGCAAGAGATAAACTATGTCTCTTAAATATGTGAATAAAATAGATTTATGTGAAATAGTTTGGCATAGCATATTTATTTACCTTTATTAATTTTTTTAATTATATAAGAATATTTTTTAAAAATTTCAACCCTCCCTTCCAGGCTATAAGACACTTTCTTTGTATCTGAGAAATATAAGAAAAAAATCCTTGAGAAATATATAATTTATAAATAACCAACGTTAGCACTTAGTAACTTTAAGTTTTGATTTTATTTGGTAGTGGTGTTTTCTGGTTCTTGTTTCATTTCTAGTCTATAAAAGTTTTCCTATACATATTTACAAATATACTCTAAAACAAGTTTTCAGCTGGCAAAAATCATCTGTTGTAAAATATTGATGCATTTAAAAAGAATTGGGAATATAATGGTCATCATTATAGGTCTCAGTAAATGAGAACAGTACCTCTCTACTATGCTTGGGGAAGGTAAGGTACCAATAGGTGAATAATGAAAGCAGAGACAAGGGGTCTTCTGTTCTATGGATATGTACGTTGCCTTCCCACTTTCAAAGAGCAAACTCAACAGCTTGATGAATGTGCTGCCTGCTAGATGATGAGATCTCCTTCCGGCTGGCAGCTGGCACACTGTACCCATGGATTAAGAAAAAGAGGCCATGCGTGCAGTGTGGGTGTGTACTATACTCTGGCGATTTCGAGAAGCCCAAATGAACCTGGCCTCGTTTCAGCTTTCATCATAGATTTCTGCTGTTTTCATCAAGTACCATTCTACCGAAGAAGATTCAGCTTCTTTGAAGCATTGCTGTTAGTGGAATTCTTGAGCACTGTCGTACTTCTGATGGTGCCTTGCCTGTTTCTATTTGGCCTATCCATTTCTATGCTACCAGAAGAGTAGTTTATGGAGCTGACTCCAGAGAGGCTGTGCATGCATAACTTCTGATGAGTGAGCTACACAGGTCCTTGTGTGTCACTCTTCCAAATTCTCGATCAAGCTCTGTAACTCTGGATATTCATAGAAAACAAACATAGCACAAGTGGCTGAACTTTTAGATGTTCTGGTAGCTTTGTCAAAGGATGCTCCTTCGGGCTTTCCCTTCACTCCCCTGTGCTTTGGCGGCAGTGGCCTTGCATTTCTTCTTTCAGGATCTCTTATACTGTTATCCTTTTTCATGTCTGTTGTCAATATTGTCATCCAGCTCATTTTCTGTCAATGTAAGAGATTAGAAATAGCCATAGGTGCTTGTATACAGGACTCATTAATTCCTGTGTTTTCTACAGTCTCCCAAAGCATTTTGTCCTTTAGGGGGAAGTTCAGGATACTATACGGAGTGCTGAAGTTCCTCATGAAGGAGTTCAGATTCCCTTGATCTTACCTCAATATGAACTGATGTTCAATGAGTGCATACCATAGGCAAGACAGACTTTACAGAGTATTGTATGGGAGGTTTCTTAGCATAGTCCTGTGATGTCATCACCATCATTATTATTCTTGCATATAGATAATTGAAAGCATGGATGCTCACCCTCCTTTTCCAAGACCATCCAGAGCACTGAGAGATGGAGTTAGGAGCCAAACTCAGGAAACTTTACCGAGTATTGACTACCTATTACTACATCAAGGGAAAGAAAGGTGTCTGAACTTCCTAAGAAAGCCACCTGTGTTGTCACATGTTAGTTATTATTATTCTTCCATTTGAAGATATTCACTCTGCTTATCACTCTGCTTAATGCCTTTCAAGTCCTCCAAAGCCAGGCAAAACCACTTCTTTCATGGTCCATGTATTGCATCCTCCTGGTTGGAACTGAATCGATTCTTGAAAGCTTCACTCACCAACTTCCTCCTTGGTGCAAATATCCATTCCCACCCATTGGACCCTATAACCTACAAGACCCACTCTGCCATCCAAACCCTTGTTCTGCTTTAATACCATGCCTTTTATGTTACACCCTGATGAAGTGTGAAGGTGGGAAGCAAGACGATCTTTCTCCTGTTAGCCCAGGACCTGGATATGGCTGTGTCCTCTTGGCTTTCAAACTAAGTTTATTCACATTAAATAGGATTTGAGTTAATTCATCTGGACACTGCTTAATCAGCATGTATGTCACGTTTAATGTAGTTTCTATGGGAAACGAAGAAAGTAAGTCTAGAGCATCAGCCACGGGCATTGGCACCTTTTAAATGTTTGATTTAATCCTCTCAGTCACATGGAAAGTAGATGCTATTGTCTCCACTGTTCCTGGTGACATACTTGAAAGTTCAATTGTGTGACTTGCCCCAGGCTGGTGAAATACATAGCCCTCACTCTATTTTCTCATACTCCAACCACTAATCATGAGCAATTCTTCCTCCTCCTCCATTATGGCATGCTCAAAGATGAGGATTGCCTTAGACATAGGACAGTGGTTGTAGCTAGAAATATTCTCTGTCCTACTGATCCCCCTGGACTGGTTTTTCCTCACCCGCCTGTTCTCAAAGCTGTTTGTGAAATAACCACTCTGAGGCTTATTATCAGTTACAATTGTTTGGCCAATGTCTTGGACTTCTTACTGGCTAGCTCTAACTATTAAATTAACCCATTTCTATTAATCTGGGTATTGCCACGAGGCTATGGTTTACCAGTGTGTCATGTTACTCCTTCAGTAGTTACAAAGTGTCTCCTCAACTCTGCCTTCTCTCTCTCTCTCTCTCTCTCTCTCTCTCTCTCTCATCTCTCATCTCTGTTTGAATTTCCTGCCTGGCTTTACTGTGCTAAGCCACTGGCCGAAACAGCTGTATTCATAAGTGAATAAAAGCCTCACATATACACAAGGACATCCCACATCATCTGCAATTATTTTGTCTAAATAAAAAAGGTTTCAACTTTGACATAGTAAAATTACATGTAATAAAACAGGTATCAAGCAAGAATTGCAGTTACAATATTTAGTCTAAAGACTTCGAAACAAGTCACAATGTGCTTTAAAAATGTGTGTAGGCTTGGGAGAGAGAAGAAAATGAGTACAGACAGTTATAAAAATAAAATAGTCTTAAAAAATGAAGTCTTTAAAGAAATTTTAAAAATAATTTAAGACAAAAGAGCCTCATGAAGATATAATTACTTGTATGTATGTGTGTGTGTGTGTGTGTGTGTGTGTGTGTGCGCGCGCGCGCGCGCACGTGGCACATGTGTACAGGTGTCCACAGAGACCAGAAGAGGCTGCTGGATCAACCAGAGCCAAGTTACAGGTGGTTGTAAGATACCTAATATGGATACTGGGAACTGTACTTGGGTCCCTTGGAAGGAAAACAAGCAGTCTTTCCCACTGAACCATCTCAGTCTCTCCTGACTTATTTTTAACATCATGTTTTCAGAGTTTTATACCAATGGAGATCAAAGTATCTTCTGATGGTAAAGTTAAAGATAAAGTTAACAAAAACTGGCCTCAGATTCTCAATTCTTTTAGCTTGACCTCCCAGGAATTGAGATTACAGACACCATCCCCATGCCTGACAATAAAATTATCCTTAAAATCATTTTGAGGCAAGGTGGCACATATTTATAGAAAGTCACCTGAACTGAACTTATTTCAGAGATGTGGAATGTGAATTCTACCAAGCAGGCACAGGGAGATACTGGCAATGTAAAAGTGGGGTGAGGTGTACTCGGCATGTTCTATAAGTAGATTACTCGCAGCTGTGGGGAAGGAGGGCTGGAGAGACAAGAGCCAAACAGGTGATAAGAGGGGCAAGGGCAAATGTGTGTCTGAACTCTATGATGCAGACTTGTAGAAGGATGGAGAAGATGGGTGTCTTTAAAGTCATAGTCTTTGACCTCAAGGGTGTGAGTAGAGAAATGGGAAGAAAGCAAAGAGACGTGTTTCTTAGTCTCATAGCTTACTGGGTAGAGATGCGTGTAACAAATTGTGAAAAGCAGGAGGAAGCAGAACATTCTGGGAGGAAGATGTTTTAATAGTGGAGCTGTTGATCTAGTGGTTGAAGACACATATGGTTAGAAAGATTGGGAATGATTGGGGAACGATGTGATGAAATAGAAAAAGAAAAGACGCAGTGACAAAATTAAGTTGTGACTAGAGAGACTGGGGGGTGGGAAAGGTAGAGTGGGTTGATAGGTGACTTAGAAGAATGTCCTTCAATTTGAGGAATCCTTGGTAGTGCCTGGTATACACACTTGTAGTTGGATTTTGTAGGTAGAAAAGAATCTCAGGAGGTTTGTAAAGCTGGTGAGGGGGGGGGATAGGAAGGTGACCTGCTTCTCTGTAGCAGTAAATCTATGAGGGTGGAGAAAGATTTAGGTACATCTTTGGACAGCAAAGATTGCTCAAGTATGGGAGCAGGGCCTGGATTTAAAGGCCTCTTCCTTCCTATTCTTATCCCAAAGAGACCCTGGAATGCATTAAGGAACCACACAGACAGAAATTTCAAGATTATTTTCTATGTTATTCTGGATTGTATCACCTAAACATGCCTTCAGTATCATGTTTAATCAAATGAGAAGGCTTTCCTTAAGTCTATACCTTGGTCTAGTTGGAAACATTAGAGGGGAATGTTTGGAATAGTTTGGTATGTGTAAGATTGACTCTGATTTTCATTAATTCCCCTCTGTGGTGACATGGAAATCTTAATCCATCAACTCTAGGAGAAGTAATTCATATTCTTGTGGTACCAGGTCACCTTTTTTTTTTTTTTTTTTTTTTTTTTTTGTCTTCAGACAGTTAGAGTCCTCTTCTGGCTCATCAGCCTGGCAGTGAGCAGGGATATCTTCCTTTCAGTGTACTTCTGTTCAAATTGTAGCCAGCCCAAGGGGAAATTGTTTTTAGATCAAATGCTGAATTGCTGACGAATAACTATTATCTTCTCTTTTCTGGCATGGACAACTGAAACTACTTGGTTTCATTTATTAGTCATCAAAAATTGAGGTTTCCTTTGATAATTTATATTTTTTTTCGTCTAGTTCAGAAAGGTAACTCCCTAATTATCTTTTGTAGCTCAGATCCTTTGTCCAATACTCATTTGACTGAAATTTTGTATAGAAAGTCAAAAATTAGAGATCCTGCCTGAAATCACTGTTGAATAGTTCATGTTTGCATGGAAGAAGTCTCAAAAATAATTCAGTAGTACAGGAACACAACACTTCACAGCTTGCCTTAAACCTGTGCCCTAAAGAATTCTACAAGGAAGAGGTGACAGAACTGGGAGCCTGGGACATACAACCCTCTTCCTCCAGCCACCATTGCACACTCTAATATTGTGTGTGTGTATCATGTATACATATAGATCTATATGTCTTGGGAAGGATGCTGTGTATATAAGATTGCCATGTGGAAGGAAGGACTCTTGAACTCTGAAAACGTTGAAAGTCAACGTCAGCGAGAGAAGTATTCCATTCAATGCCATGCGGGAGGCCACTCGGATATTGACAGATATTCACCTGTAATTGTCCACGTGTTGCTCTTCTCTGCCTGTGTATTGTCCCGAGGATGGACGGGGCAGTCGGCTAGCATGTAGCCATAGCAAAGCCATCTTCCCGGTTAGTAGGTGCAGAGAGGTGGGTATCTGTTCTTTAGTGTATTCAGAGATTTCTTTTCAAGCTCAGAGTAGCCTTTAGGGGGAGAGTTCTGATTTTCTGTAACAGTGAAGCTCTTCCCTCTATGGTTGAAGCTCATTCTCCTTCATCTTTTATTTGGAAGGAAAGGACAGTGCTCAATTGCAGTCTCCCACAGAACATTTTTTTAAATGGAGTTCGAGACTATTCATTAAAACACCATCTCATCTTGTATTTTTCAACTAATGAAACCCCAGTTAGTGGTTGGAATATCTAACACATCATTTGTCTCTCTGTCCTTGTATAACAACAGATTCTGTGCTTCCATGGCCTTTAAGTCATGGTCTTTGTGTGTGGGAGTGTGGTAAAGATGACCACCCCCTTCACTGAGTCCTATACAATTTAAGTGTGAGGTGGTTTTGGCTTGAATTACCAAAGGAAAGTTAGATTTTTGATGACTAAGAGATGAGCTACACATGTAGTTTCAGTTGTCCATGCCAGAAAAGAGAAAATAATAGTTATCCATCAACAATTCAGCAGTTAAGCTGAAAGAGTAGAACCAACTAGTAACTATCTCTATTCTCAGCCAGTTTTTTTTTTTTTTTTTTTTTTTTTTTTTACCTTTGGGTTGCTATTCAGCAGGCTCATTTAGATCACACATCATGATGACATCTGGATACCTCTATTTGCACTGTCTTTCAAATGGCGTCCCCTTAGAAACTGTGTGTTATTAGCTACACCCTTTATTGCTTTAGAAGCCCCTCGTGTCCTCCTTGGAAGAGGTACAGTTATCCTAAAAACAAGGGCCAAGCTTCATCCATCTTGATTTTCTAAAGTTCTGAGTACCGTGTCTTACACAGACTCATGCACAGTAAGTGTGCGCTGCCCAGTGGATAACTGAACCACATCATTTTTCTTCCATGTGTTCTGAAATCTCAACACCTGCTTGTTTCTTTGCCTTCCTTGTAATTCGTACACATGACAGGATTTTTTCTCAGAGCATTGTCCCCGGAATCTTAAACTTACTTTATGGCTTGAAAACACAGGTATCTGTTTGAAAAGCAGAATGGTATTACTAGTCTGGCTGGCACTCGGTTTGAGTTTAATTAGAATTGGCAGCTTGTGATCTGGAGAGTATAGCAGTGTTGGGAGAATTTTTTTAATAGGAAACTCTTAGTTTTTCTGTGATGAGAAAGCAAAGAACTAAAAGGTTAGTTTCATAAGCTCATATAATGGTTTATGGCTGTTGTTTCCCCAAGTAATGTGGAAGAAAACTTTAAAAACCAGGCATGGTGGTGCAGTCCTTTAATCTTAGCACTGAAGAGGCAGGGGCAGGTGGATCTCTGTGAGTTTAAGGCTAGTCAGGTCTACAAAGAGAGTTCCAGGACTGCTAGGGCTCTTAGACAAAGAAACCCTGTCTCAAAAACATCAAAATAAAAAAAGGAAAAAAAGAAGCTGTTTAAAATGTTTAATATTGTGTGAGTATGAGTGAGTGTGTGTGTGTGTGTGTGTGTGTGAGTGAGTGTGTGTGTGTGTGTGAGAGTGTGTGTGTGTGAGAGAGAGAGAGAGAGAGAGAGAGAGAGAGAGAGAGAGAGAGACAGCTTGCATATAGAGGTCAGAGGACAACTTGTAAGAGTTGATTCTCTCCTGCTATATGAGGCCTGGTGATTGAGCTCATATTGTCAGGTTTAGTGCTAAGTGCTTCTACTCGCTGAGCCATCTTTCTGGTAATAAAAGATGATCTGACAATGGTAGCTTACTGTGAAACTGAAATTTGGTTCAGAAAATTTAGGAAAACCCCTCAAGCGGAGGAAATGGCACAGCAGTTAAGATCACTGGCTGCTCTTCCAGAGAATTTAGGTTCACTTCTTAGAATAAATATGGTGGCTCACAGCTGTCTGTAACTACAGTTCCAGAGGATCCAGTGCCCTCTTTTGGCCTCTATGGGCACTGCACACATGGATTACACATATGTATATGAAGACAAACACACACACATACACACACACACACACACTTTTTTTTTTCAAGGCAGGGTCTCTCTGTGTGACAGTACCTCTGGTTACCCTGAAACACAATTTGTAGACCATTTTGGCCTTGAACTCACAGAGATCCAACTGTTTTTTCTTCCTAAGTGTTGGGATTAAAGGTGTGTAGCAACACCACCTGGCTTCAAATAGTGTTTGGGAGATAGACATAGAGACAGAGAGAGAGAAAGACAGAGACAGAGTATCCTTGTAAATGTAGGATTTATTTTCACTGAGTATAGTAAAGAGAGTTAAAATAGCGTTCTACTTTTTTCCCAAGATACTATTGTTCTTGGGCTCTAGGAGTGCTGGCGATGCTTCAAAGGAGTCATAGTCTGTTACTCTGGATGTATTGTGTGCAGTTTCTCCTGGATGAGGGAACAGAATTCTGCATTTAACGGCATGGGCATCAGCAAGTCATTTGCCCCTGCATCCTCCTGAGAGAGCTGAGCCAACAAATATGCACAGGGATACAGGACTGGTCTATTCCAGATGGATTACTCCTACAGATAACTGATTATACATCTGCGGGCCATTGGTCCAGTTCAGCTACAAATGCTGAGGGTTGGAGGTGAATTGCTTTTCAATCTGCTGTCTGTCATTTAAAACAGATAATTTAAATTACTCTCTTTATTCTTAGGTGATGAATAAGTAAGTGGTTTGTAAATTGGGCTTTTTTGTATGATGAACAAAAGCCCTAGACCTTATTTATTTTTTAAAATAGTATAAACATTTAATTTCTGTTCCACTACATGTAGCGAGGAAGATTACAGAGAAAAATGAATTGACCATGGGTGTAGGAAAAGCAATTTTAAAGCCTACACTTTATTCATGGCCAACTTGTTTACAGGATTGTATTAAAATACAAGAAAACACTGGTTGACAATAGATTTGCCCTTACCTTATTTTAAGAGAAATTAGTACTCTATCATATACATGTAAGTGAAAGTTTTATCAAAACCATGGAAAAAAAAGGGAAGCGGCTGTTTTGTCTTAAACTCACTCAGGTGTCCCTTGGTGCAGCTTCCCGTCTTTCATGGATAGGTTTTCCTCCATGTGGTTGCCAGGGACACCCGATACCAGCGTTTCACGTTTTACTTGCAGGATCAGTTCAGCGATATGAGAATCAGCATAAACCAGACGCCTGGGAGCCAACCTGACTTCGGGTTTACAATAAAATGGGATTATTCGGGGATCTTTGTGGCATCCGTTGAAAAAGGTAAATCATACACATTGCGCTCCTTGTCTGTGGTGTGTGTGGGAAGCAGAAGCCACTAGATTTGGCCTGTGGGGGTCGGGGGCATGTGGGAAAGATGCATTTGGGTGGAGGAAAGTTGGCGTAGTCTCCTCCCCAAGACTAGTAGTTGCACTTATGAATTACATATTGTTTACTCACCCTTCCTAATTTGTTTCCATTTTCAAGAGTCTCTATTTTGTGACCTTTGAGATTTTTTTTTTTAAAAACTTGCTTTCTAGAAATGTTAACAAGTCGCATTTATCTGAAAGATTAGTGTAAAATTTCCATGGATAATTGTGTTTTGTGGCAGACACTTACTGCCCTATAATAGATCAACATGGGGCTTGCTGTTTGTAGTGACTTGGACCCAAGTGCATCATACATGCTGGGTCCTCTGTCCCTGGCCACCTCCCACCAAGAGTGATGTTTTCTAAGTAGCGTTAGTATTTTGTCTGTCATTTATCATATGCTCAAGGTGCTTTGGGTCTTCTACTGAATGATTACTCCTCCCACAGCCAGGGTTATGCCACGGTAAACCCAACAACTGCTAAATTTGCTCTCAAGGTAACTACAGTGAGATCTATCCTATTTGAGAGGAGATCCCTGTTTATGGATTTTTATCATACAGAATTGTGTGTTGACATTGGCTCTTCCTTTTAAATTTCAAGATTGGTGTAATCATGGTACTTTAAGTGGTAATTTTGTGCAGTTTAAAGGGACTCTTTCCTTCTACTCTCTCTAGCCAAGAATGCTAACTGATGCTCCATTAAAGTATAATATATTTCACATTTTTAATGTAAATATGACTGCATTTTTCTTTGTCCTCAGGAGAGTTATTATTATTATTATTGTTATTATTATTTTGGCTGAACTTACCATTTCTTATTTCATTGTAAATGGAGAAACAGACTCTGGAATAAACAATGCCCCTGGTACTTCATGTGGTGTCGGGACTCAGCTTTTAGATAACTTAAAAATACCAATGTTGCTTCTCTACTGTAAACTGTAGGAACTAGTCAAGATGAGAAAGTCATTTGCCTTAAAGAAACAACAGGGATCAGCCTGTGTGGCATCTTTATCATCTGATTATGTACTTTATTCTACCTTGTCTAGGTAGCCCAGCAGAATTTTCTCAGCTGCAGGTAGATGATGAAATTCTTGCCATCAATAACACCGAGTTTTCATATAAGGATACAAAAAAGTGGGAGGAAACCATGGCAAGCGCCCAAGAAACCGGAAACTTAGTGATGGATGTCAGGCGCTATGGAAAGTCTGGTGAGCTGGTTTCCCTCTGTGCCTGGCTGAGTAGGGAAACCTGACTTTGGCAGGTGGTTGTAACCATTGGCTTTATTAATCCTCTCCCCTACCCCCGTTTTTCTTAGCTTTGTGCTTGCAATTGTTTTGTCGTTGTGTTGGGACAAATCATGAAGGGCCCCTCTGTCTATTCCTTCTGAAAATGCTTCACTAGCAAATCTACTGAATTCGACACCCTTTGACTGCTTAGGTAAATGATCTGGCCGAATGCAAATGCCCATTAAAAGCAAATGTATCTCTACCCAGGAGCCGCAATGCCGAGCATTAAGAATGGCACTATGAGGTGGGCAGAGGTGGCGCACACCTTTAATCCTAGCACTTGGGATGCAGAGACAAGCGGATCTCTGTGAGTTCAAGGCCAGCCTGTCTACAGAGTGAGTTCCACAGGAGCTGGTGCTACACAGAGAAACCCTGTCCCAAAAACTAAAAGAAAAAAAAAAAGACAGTGGAAAGAACGAGGCTTTATGATTTAACATTCTCTATAGTATTTAACTGTACTGCTGTTGTCAAGAGCATAGTAGGACATATTCCTATTTGTTCCCATAGCATTGTCATCTGCTTTTGATGTCATTGTGTTTCTATGCATGGTGATGGTTCGCTAGGAAGGGACATTAAGTCTCTTCAGATCCACACATGTTTGGTGTCGGCACATAACATGAGCGCCAGTCAGTTTAGCAAAAGAATCAGCACATTTGCTAGTCGTCTCTTTACTACCACGGTTTTTAACCTTTGTGTTTTGGGAAGGTGATCTGCTGGTAAAAGCCCTAAAGTCTCCCCATCGTTGACACTGCCTGATTCATCTGTCTGTCCGTCTGTCTGTCTGTCTGTGTACGTTTTGTATCTGTGCATTCAGTAACTTTATTCTTTCCACTTCACCACCTATGTGTTTTCATTACTTGATCTTCATGTGCCAATCAGACTGGGGCAGAGACCAACCTCCCCTGCCATCTATACGGCATAAAACCCTCAATCTTACCAGTGTGGCTACCAAAATTATAGGTTCGCCTGAAACAAAGTGGACGGACACGACTTCAGGAATTTACACCTCGGACAAGTCCTCAAGTCTGTCGGTAACAACTGATTTCTCTGAAAGCCTTCAGAGTCCTGTAAGTAGAAAGAAGTAACAACAGAGGCTATGTGGGGGGAAGTTTTGATGCTGCATAAAAGACAAATGGTTAGGTTATACTTAATAAATAAAGTGTCGTCTTGAAAATACTGGCTGTTTTCATTAGCCATCTTTTATTATCGAGTTATGGATGATAATATCATTCCATAACATTGCTCTGCAAGTATTTCTCACCAATCTTTCATTAGTACAACCGTCTCTCTCAATCTTTGTGAATGAGAAACAGCAATTGTGAAAAATTATATGCTACAGCTATTTGTGCTCTGTCGTCAGCTGGCAAAATATACTCACTGTATACCATGAAATCTCATGATGCATTTTAATTGGATTGCATGTGTGATTAAGATATAATCAGTTTCACGAATTGATTTAAAAAGCACAGTGCAGGAAATTTCAAAATTCTAAAGCAATATTTTTTTCATATAGTTTTGTTTTTAAAAAAACTAGTTTTTATTTCTAATCAGAATTGTTCATTTTAATTGATATTTAAAATTTGAATCAACTTATCTAAAAGGAAATATTATTACATTTTTAAAGGACAGGTTTAATTGTTAAAGAATAACAAATGGTGGTTTTACTACTAAGTCATACCAAATAAATATAACCCAAATGGATAAATGTCTTATCTACCATGCCTCTTAGAATATTAATGACTGATTAAACTTATGGTCATTCTTGCCTATAGCTAGTCATTAATCCTTTCCCAAGTATTGGAGAGTAATGAAAAAAAATAGCACATATAAGAAGCTGTGGGTAATGAATCAATATCCTGAAAACCCATTTTGTTTAAAGACATCTTCCCCTAATGAGAGATGTATTATTTAAGCCCAAAGTCTAATCAGAGAGAGTGCTAATTAGCATTTCTACCCTCTCCAGTACACCGAATCCAAAGAAATCAATGGAATTCACGAAGAAAGCAACACCCTTGATTCAAAAGGTAAAGGTCACTCTTAAATTATTTCTGTTTGTCCCGGAGGGGATGTTATAGCTCTCAAGACCTGCTAGAAAAATTAATATATTTAAGTAAGCAAAAGCTGGATGAAGAACGAGTTGAAACCAAGGTTAGCATGCAGATCCAGTTGTGGCCAGGTGGGAAGGAGTCCATTCCAGCCTGAACAGTTCAGGAGCTACAAATGCAAATTTGGCAGCAGGCTCTGGAGCTCTAGGTACCCGCACCTAAGCCAAATAAGAAGAACAGGTTTTCCTAGAGCCAGCAGTGTTGGCAGAAGGATCTTCATTAAACTCAGAATGAAGAGTTTCCTTTCCCTCCTGATTGTTCTGAAAGGACAAATGTGCAGGGAGCTGATCCTGACAGGGAATCACTGAGGGCAGTCACAGTTGAGAGAGTCACCTTTGTTTGTCTTGAAAAAGAAGGCTACAGAAGTATCCAGGGCATTGTGGGAGTTCCACTCTTTGCTTAGACCATTCAGAAATAATTTAGCTACTGAGTGCTGTGTGTTATTCCTTAGACATATCAAAAAGACCTTTCGGGTCCATACAGGCAGGAAAGAGGCCAGAAGAAGATGAAGGTCTTACACCATGAGGCCAGGCCTCCTGTAGTGGGGCTGTGTTTGCTTTGGCGACACAGTTGAACAGTTAGTAAATATGTTGAGCAAAACTGATCGAAGTTTATAGATTTGTCTCTTCTTTATGATTATTCTCTTTGTCCTTCTTTTTTAATAATTACAAAGTAGGACAGTTGTTTGCCTTATCAACTGAGTTTGAAAATAAACATTGCTTATTTTTCCTGATATTAAAAAGCTAAAGAATCCTAGTTGTCTTCTTCTAATGACCCAGGTAGTAGTGCCAATCGATAAGACACCTACGTGGTGACTATGCAACTCTATGCAGGGCTTGCTACTTCAGGATTGTTTAGTAAGTAAGCATCAGCCACTGTCAGGTGATATTTATGGTTTGTACCATTGTTTTGGGACTGATTCATGGGAGACGTCAGATTACGTTCCCTTTTTCTTTCTGGCTAACATACAGCAAAAATAATAAGACATAAGCCAGCATCTACACATTCTTAAATACTACCACAAAATATTCTAATTAAAGACACATTCATTTTAGCGTTTGCTTTCATTTGGTCATTCGTTAGATTGTCTTGCTTTTGATGACTTCTCCAGATACTTTTACATTTTCCTTCACCATGTTGTAAAAATGCTTTGGGAGAGATAACTTTAGGTCGATTCACGTAAGCAGAAAGTGTTAGTTTTTATTTCTCGGAAGTACCGGCCTCTAAGATGACGATATGGCTCTCCTTGCTGTGAAAATACAATGCTATTTACTAAAAATAATTAATAAAGTGTTTGTTCCTCTTGCTAACTTGAATGTAGTGTAGATTACTAAAATATGCGTGTCTGCCTTGAAATAATCTCTACCTTCAGCGGCTACCAATTTTGTATTTAAAAAATAACATTGCTACAGATTTGAAAGGTCTCTCAAGTGTCATTGAATTTACCAGTGGTGAGAAGTTAAAATGAATGACATGGTATTTATTTTCTTATTTTTCAACTAGCATCAGAATCCATTTCTTTGAGAAATTTAAAAAGGAGGTCCCAATTTTTTGAACAAGGTAAATTGTAATGCTTACTTATCCTGGGCTCCCACGGACTTGCCCCGCTCCTCACTCTCCTTGTGGTCTGTGGCTCTGGGCACCAATCTCCTTCCATCTTGCTGCTGTTATGACCAAGCAACATAACCCATTTCCGTTCTTTCCCCAGGATCACCAGGCTTTTCTTACAGTTCATGGGTCTACCTCTGTGGTAATGGGTCTTTGCGTGTCCTTTGTCTAGCTCTCAAGGTGTTTCTCTCTTTTAACCTTGTGAAAAAACAAAACAACAATCAAAGCAGTGAGATGCTATTAAACACACGTGTTTTTCCACTGGGTAACAGTAAGAAATGAGGAGTTTCAGTTTTGCCTTACTGCTTCCTATCATTTGCACAGTGTTAGATTACACCAACATATGTTTGGTCAACTTACAAAAACAAACAAACAATTTGTTTTTGGTCATGGGAAATACTGCTGCTCATGAAGCCCAGAGATGCTCATTGCTATTGGAATGACGGTGGAGGGTTGATAATGATGACTGTATTGATGTCAAAGGAAACTTAACATAAAGAAAATTTGGTTGCACCTGAGCACAGGAGCATTGTAAAGTTATCTATGTTGGTGTAGCTGCGCATGGCTGCTTCTTGAGGAATGACGCATGCGCCTTTTCTTCATCTTCATGTTTGTCTAACGCTCTGTCTCCCGAATGTGGGCTCAACTCTGTTCTGCTCCAAAGAACTTAAAAGAAATGTTTAACATTTTAGATGCAGCATCACAGAAGATTTACTGTTGCTATCTAAAATGTTACTCATTCTTTAAAGATTAATGAAACATTTCAAAATTTGCTTTATGATACCTACTGGGTTTTGTGTCTGTTGTGTTTACTGCCTAATGTTCTTCCTAAGGTAGATTAAATTTCCTTTTAGACCAAAGTGTTTATCATCTGTCTTTGGTGTTTTTGATTCATAGTTTTTCACTAAACTCACTATTTTCTGTGGCTATTCAATTGAAGTGATAACACACTCCTAATTTGGTCTGGCTAAAACAAAATAGTTCCTCATTTTTGTTTTAGTTTTATCTTACTTTTCTTCAATGAGCTATTTTAGAGATGAACATTTTCCTAAGTTTTAAAACAGTTTTCTTTAAATAGGTACATGGTTATGTGACAGCTGATATTTCAGGAAACTTTCTGAACACTACATAATAGTATATTTTCTGAAAATTCACTTTTTGATAATTATATAATGTGTCGACACATTATAAATTAGTTCAGTGTAGTTATACGTAGCTCTAATGTCAAGGCTAGGCAGGGAGATTAAAAGTTCAACACCAGCCTAGATTAAATAGTACCTCAAAATAGCAATCAAAGAATTAGCCAGGCATGGTGGTCCACACCTGTAGTCCCAGCATATGAACCATGGAGGCTGGAGGACTAAAAGTTCAGAGTCAATGTTGGCTTGAGGTCAGCCTGGGTGTGATGATGATATAATAATATTATAGTGCCTGATAGTTGACACATCAAACTTGAACCCCTGTGTTTCAAATAATAGAAAAGAATGGGGTCTTGACCTTGCTTTTTGCCACATATCAATTAGAAAGCAGCTCATTAGCAAGGAGACCTGGGAAATAAGAAAGCCTTCTGTCATACTTTTGACGAACATTTGCAATAACTGGGCTTGGGAGATGCTGCAGTGTTTGTGTTCTTTCTCCCTGTTAAGCCAAACTATGAGACACTGGTCAGTTTGGTATCAATGAAGCCTTTTATGAAAGACTCACCAAATTAGCACTGTGCCCTAGAGTTTGGGGCTCCAGCAGTTTCCTCTCTGAACTAAATGTGAGTTTGGAAGACGAGTACAGATGGAACTGAAGGGGAAGGATTCATAGGTGATGGAGTTACCGAGAGCACTGATGTCACCCGGCATACTGGCAGAGACAGCTAGTGACCTAACTCCCCGAAAAGAATGATTTTCTGGAAATGAAGACTCACGTTGTGCTTTTCTTCCCTCCTCGCCCACGTGCTGCAATGCAGGGAGCTCCGATTCTGCGGGTCCTGATGTGAGTACTAGACTTTTGTAGTTGGGAATACATAAGGGAAGCTTGGTGGGACTGGGTTTCTCCACAGTAATATATCCTGCATTGTTTTAAGATACGTAAAGGTTGGTGGGGTTGTGATATGCTAAGCTAAAGAGGTTGACGTTGAAATGTGAGTCCACATCATCCCTGTGATGGTTTAAGCCAACAGGAGATGAATGATTGATGAGTTTCAGTAGATTGAGGGTTTCAGTAGATGGCTTAAGGAATGTAAGTTGTTCTGTGTTTACATCTCTTGTGTCGCAAACTGGTTAGGTTCCAGTTCCAACCCTCAATGCCCCAAGTCGCTGGGCATGGGATCAAGAGGAGGAGCGAAAACGACAGGAGAGGTGGCAGAAGGAGCAGGACCGCCTACTCCAGGTAGTACCACATATCCTGGGTGAATAGAGGGCTTAGCTTCAGTGCTGCCTTCTGGCCAGTGCCAAGCAGTGTTGGGAAGCAAGCTTGCAAAAAGGCAGAACCAAACCGGCATCCTTATCACTAGCAAACCCCAAACCTTTTTGCATATTGTACTCATATCTTGCATTAAGCACTTACTTTCCCATTTTGATGATTATATAAACTATCGGACATTAACCCATACAGACACTTTGGAGACATGAGAGGCCCAGACTGTGAGGCTTGTCCCTGCCAGTGGTAGATGAGGTCTGTTTGGCCATCAGCCTTCCTTACCCTAGCTGTGGAGGCCTTGATGAGTAACATCAACAACACAGCTTGGGTATAGGTTTTGTTCCATGTGCCTCAAATTTCTGACATCTAAACATCTGCTTAATTTTAGCTTAATATAAGACTTTTTTTTTTCTTCAGACTAAATTCTAATTGGTCACATGAAAGTTTGATCTGGAAGTTTAGAGCTAGCAAAATTGTTAATGGAAAATATCCTGCTTAAATACCATGAAAAGGCAACCTTGATTAATTATTATTCCATATTCCCCCCTAGGAAAAATACCAACGTGAGCAAGAAAAGCTGAGGGAAGAGTGGCAGAGGGCACAACAAGAGGCCGAGAGAGAGAATTCCAAGTACTTGGATGAGGTAGCACGAAGCATGCCTTGTTCCCTTCCTTCTCTGTACCGTTTTGGAGAACCTAGGCAAGGAACACCACACCCCATTTTCCTAGACACACACCTCTGTAGCTCTTTGGAAAATACATTGAATTCTTGTGTGTTAGAAATTTACTTTGATCTTTTAAATTCTCTCGTAGTTTTTCTAATGTATCCTCAAGTAAATTTCCCTAGAACTTCAGCTTCAAGTAATCTTTCTGCCCTTAGACTTCAGTTACTTATGTGGCTTAAAAAGAAAAAAAAAAAAAAAGAGCTGTAACTATCTTCTTGGAATTCTGGGCTGCTTACCATTATTTTCATCCACAGTTGAATCTGTGTGAAATGACAGAGACACAGATGGTGCTGTGTTTGATTGATTGATTGATTGATTTTTAATGGCTACCTAGGAGCTGATGGTCCTAAGATCCAACAGCATTTCTCTGACTACACGGGAGCCTGTGACTGCCACTTGGGAATCCACCTGGAGTGAAGGGTCCAAGTCTTCGGACCGGGAAGGAACCCGAGCAGGGGAGGAGGAGAGAGGGCAGCTGGAAGAGGATGCTGTTCGTGAGGACAAAAGTCGGAAACTGCAGGAGCAGCTCATGCTTGAGCAGGAGAAGAAACAGAAGGAAGAAGCTCAGGAAGAAGAGCTTCAAAAGCAGCGGGAGGCTGAGGCGCAGGCGCAGGCTGAGGCAGAAGCCAAGGCCCGAGCAGAGGCCCAGGCCCAGGCAGAGGCTCAAGCGCGAAAACAAGCTGAAATGCAGAAGTACCATGCAGAGAGGGAGCGAGAAACTTCCGTCAAGATCTACCAATACCGGAGGTCTGTCCCCATAGCTGAAGCGGGTATCAAGGAATTTCAATAGTCATGGGTTTGTTTTGCCTACCCAGTATGCATTCCCTTCTCTGCCATCCTTACTTTGCACAGCTTAACCAACCCGTCCCAAAGAGCCTTTAAACCACAAAACTTCTGTAAACGGAGATTGCTCTTTTACTCCTGGCTGCCCAGACCTGAATAATCACACAGAATCTATATCAATACAACACTGTTTGGCCTATTAGCTCAGGCTTCTTATAAACTAACTCTTACATCTTAAATGAACCCATTTCTTTGTATATTTTACCACAAGGCTCATGGTTTGTTACCTCTTGCTTCTTGGGTGGCTCCATGGTATCTGCCTTACTCCATCTTCTTTCCTCCTCTAGCTCTGCTTGGATTTCCTGCCTTGCTATAGTCTACCCTGCCATAGGCCAAAGCAGCTTCTTTATTAACTAATGGTAGTAAAACATATTCACAGCCTACAGAAGGAAATCCCACCACAGACAGCATCTGCCACTTTAATTCCCTCAGCTCTTTCAAGGCTTCCGTACATATTACAACACTAATGTTTTCTGTTACCTCTGGAAATGACTGCCACCGCACACATGTGGCCCACTCATCTGATTTAAACGTCTACCCTGCCATCACCAGCTTAGCCTTTCCAGAATACCCAGTTCTGCCTTCCCATCATTTCTGTGTACGCCACACTAGTCTGCATTGTTGTCCTCTTGGCCTGCCTACCCCAAGAAGATGTGGTTCAGAGCTACAATTTAAAAAAGCAATTTCTGTAGCCCTAGATCATGACCAGGGCATGGAGTTCCCACCTACCACAGTGTATACTTATACAGAGAATGCATAACTGGGCATGTGGTCAGCAAATGCACATAGGTCTGTTCTCAGTAGCAACTGATTGAAATGCCTGTTTAGCTCTAAAACCACAAACAATTTGCATAAAAGACCAGAATACTATTTTGATATTCCTAAAGTCAGGGAGTGTCTTAAATTCTGGTATTTTAATAAAAAAAAAAATCCTTACTTTTTAGGCCTATTGATTCCTACGATATACCAAAGAGAGAGGAGGAATCTTCAGGGATGTTTTCTACGGACAGGTGTGTGGACTACTGTGTTTTACTTGGTTGATCCCAGTTGCCTTCAGATGGATGTTCCTCAGCTCACCTAGGTGATCTGTAGAGCCACTCTAGCCCTTTGTCCTTTTGTCTTGTGGAGCAAAACAGAAGAAACAAAACAACTCGAAGATTGTCCTTTGTATCAGTTAGTTTTTGCTGTGTAACCATTACCTTTAAACTTAGCTTATGATTTTGTGGCTTAGCATTTTGTGTTGAGCTCATTTGGAGTTGTTGGTTGTTTGGGCTCTAGTCACCCATCTGCTGCTAGTTAACCAGAGAGCTCTGCTTTGGGAGTTGGTGGAAGTATCTGGGGAAATGAGAGCTACTATAAGCTGGTGAAATCTTATATTCATGGTGGATGGACAGAGAAGAAATAGAAATAAGGAAAGATGGTTTCCAAGACACCTGAGAACTAAGCTATTGTTCAAACTAAAGTCAAAAGCTGCTTCAAGCTAGAGTCATGTGTAGGTGACATACGTTTGTAATCTTAGCCCTCAGGTGGCTGAGATAGAAGGATCAATGTGAGTTCAAGGCTAACCTAAACAACATAATAAGCTCAAGGCCAGCCTAGGCTACAAAGCAAAACTTTGTCTCAAAAAAAAAAAACAACAGAGAAATAAAAGCTGTATTGCCCTTCTGCCTTGTGTTAAGGAGTCATTTTAGATGGTAAATAGACAAAAATTGTTCCGTTTTGGTCACTCAGAACAATGTTTAAAGTAAATTTTTGAGATATGGTCTCAATAGGCACCACAAGCTTGCCTGGTGCTCACTATATACCTGGCTAGCGTTCTTCCCACCTCTTGGTACTACATATGTGTGTCGCCTTATCCAGGAGACTGTTTGTTTTAAAAAGGCATGAGGAGTGGCTCAATTACCTAAAAATGATAATGTTTTTAGTGCATCTGATGAGAATTGTGGCCATTCTCTTAGATAGTACAATGGGAACCACCAGCAGGGTTTGAAAAGAAAACAGGTTTTCGGCTAACAGAAAAGGTATAAGGAGCATGCGTTTAAAGTTTCCTAAAGCATCAAGCTTTAATATTTTCAGGTAATTAAACAAAATCACTTTGCTGTTTTAAAATCACTAAGGACTTTTGAACGGTGTGTCTATAAATATCTAGTCTGTAGGTTCATTAGCTTCTGCTTGCAGAGCTGAAATAATTCCTGTAGGATACTTGTCTTCTTTATTGGATCTAAGGAAAGAGGCACATTTACTGGCAACCAGGGTGAGTGAAGGGGTTCAGACCAGAAAAAAGGACGAACAGGAATAACTAGGTAAAAGTGTACCTACAGAGCTGGAGAAAAATCTCCTGATAAATGAGCTGATGACGGCGAGTCCCCCAGAAAAACTAGAGACCATTAAAATGTCCCTCACTTGCTCATCATTTTATTCACTTTGCAGACTTTCTCAGTACAACTCTATGAGAAGATATATTTAGCCCTATTTTCTTTTTATTTGTGAAGAAACAGAAACTTACATAGGTTGATGTTTGGCTAAGAGACCCAAGATGAGACAAGCTAGGAATTACCAATATATAAACTTTCTGACGTTAATCTTCATGCATTGCTCATCTGCCTTGAATACAGGTAGTAAAAAGCTAACTAAGAAATATAACACAAGGTCTGAATTATGATTCCAGCATTGAGGAGGCAGAGTCATGGTATCTCTGTAAGTTCAAGGCCAGCTTACTCTGCATCTATTTTTTAAAAATCTATGAGTGGATTTATATAATTGAGGAGTATATACTATATATTATATTATACAATGTAGAATACTATAGGTAGTGCTATATATAATATATAAATACTATATATATTATGTAGTATATACTTTATAGGCATTGGGGAGTGCAGCCTAACATCCAGGGGCAAGTGTTTTTTTTTCTTTGTAAATATAGGCATGCCCTGACAGATGTAGCTGTCTGCCAGTAATAGTACCTTATCCTGCATTATAGGTTATTACACAGGGTGCAGATATACACTATATATACATATGCACATCTGTGTATAGTATTGCTACTATTTCTGATGCTGGGCTAATTAGTAGAATGAGGAGATGAGCCTGTGCCCTTTTATAGCTATGAAGATGGCATTTTCAGAGGTGCCTGCAGAGTCAGAAGGCCTTGCTACCTGTTTGGAATGCCAGGATAGCATTTGGCAAATGGGTGAATGATCTGTGGACTCCCGGTGCCATAGATCTTCACATCCTGATGCCAGGCAGTGTGGAGGGCACAGCATAGACTGACTCTGAGTGAGCTGGTGGCTGGTGCAGGAGTCAGCATGGGCAGAGCAGTCTCTATCATCTTAGGAAGGAGAGAGGGTCCCATATTTTGTGTATTTCCAGCAATTATTGTTTTCTGCTAGTTTGCATAATATGAAATGTTCCTTGGTTCAAAAATAAACTCATCTCCCAAAAGATATAGGAAATAAATACCTGCTTAAAAAAACATTTTTTTCCAGGTGTAGTGGTGTATGCCTTTAATCCCAGCACTTGGGAGACAGAGGCAGGTGAATTTCTGTGTTTGAGGTCAGCACCAGTATATAGAAAAAGTTCCAGGTGGACTAAACAGAGAAGACTTGTCTTGAAAAACAAACAAAGCTGTATTTTCTGGAATAAAATAAAAATGTTAATAACACATATTTAATATATTCTGTTTTAGGAGCAAGTCAAGATCTACTACAGAACTAAATGATACCCCCACAGAGAAAAATGGTAAGTGTGATTTTTGCATTCGAACTTTTATTTAAAAGCACATTACATATTTGAGTGGTCATATACTATCATTAGTTTCTTTAAGTGCCAGAAACTTTAGATTCACTATTATTATATGGGCAACATGCTATTTTGCATATCTGTAATAAAAACTACCTTTTATTTATTTGGCTTTCTTTATAATGGAGTGAGTACCATACCGGGGCATTTCAATAACTAAGGAATATGTGGGAAATTTGCAAAGAAAATGTTGACACACTTTGCATAGTAGATTTTATCTTGCAGTTAAAGAATGTGGCTAGGAAATAATACTGAGGACATAAGAATTATGGATAAATGTGAAGTCATTTATGCAAATGGAAAAAGGTCTGAAAACCCAGTGATAGGGATTTTTTCCCTTCATGAAAATCATTTGGAACTCAGAACTTGATATAAAATATGGTTATGGTTAGCCTCAGATAACTGAAATTGCATAAGTAAAAAAAAAAGCCCTAAGCAATTTCATCATACATACAGGGTTTGCATAAACAAGCTATTGGTCAGTTATGCACATGTAGAAATGTTCAGGTAGGGATCGAGATGGACAGACAAGATTTGGCCCCATCACTGACCTCCAAGGTAATTCAAATCTCTGATACCAGCTATTTCTGTTTTTAATATGAATAAGTAGTAGTTTGCATTTCACATATTATCATTAAACTACTGAGAAATTTTTTTTTTAAAAATTTAAAGCTCATTATAAGAAAAACATTGTCTTTTATGTTTGTCTTGGGTCTGGTAGCAGCTGATGTGTATCTCTGGTCAAAGCTCATAGAATTAAGTTTTCATTGGGATAGGTGGCAGTATCATTGAGTAAGTAGGATCTTCAGTCATGGTGCTATTTGACTTGCTAGCATTTTGGACCCATCTTTCCCTTCAGGAAACACTACTCTAAACAATTGTCCTCTCTCTTATGTCTCTGCTCAACAGATACTTCTAATGTGGCCTGTCTGCTCTTTGGATCTTTCCGATTTGGGTTTTCCAGCTCTTTCCCCTTGAATTTGGCCCCTAGCTATTGTTAAAATTACAGATTAAGTACAGTTGTCTTGTGTGACATACCTTTAGTCTGTGGCGTTTGTACTCTGTCCTGAGTGAAACCTGGTTGTTGGCGCACACCTGCGACAGTCTCAAACGCCTGCTCACTCTTGTGTTTGGGTCCCACCTGGATAGCTTTCTTCCCTGTGCCAGCCTTGAATTAGCACACGGTTGTTGGTGCACACCTGGGATGGCCTGAAACAGTTGCTCACTCTTCTGTTTTGTGTACCACCTGGATAGCTGGTAGTGTGTGCTTTCTTCCCTGCGCCCACCACACCTCCTTGAATTAGCAGATACTAAGAAATTATTACATATTTGATGGGATGATTTGGTTATACCATCAACATACTCTTAATATGAAGAAAGTTTTATTTTAAACTAGCACATGGATATTGTTTTTAATATACCACATGTAGGTGTGTACTAAACAGCAATAACAACACACTTCTGTGGCCTCTGGCTCATTGCTTACTTGAAAGAGATAAGACAAGCCAGATACTCTGAATGTGTGGCAATAACAATGAATTCAGAGAAAAAAATTCCTTAGTTAAAAATTTCTAATCTAAACCAATAATTGTATGTGTTTTCCACAAATAGGAATTAGTCAGCAAACCTTGGGGGTGCAAGCTGACTTAATTACTACTAATAAACTTAACAGTTATATTACAGTTTATAAATATCTCAGAGTACAAACAGATTTGGTAATATTATGAACAATCATTTTCTATTGTTCACCAGGCTGAATAATCTTACAGCACCTCATGGATGCCTCTGCATGTTGAACTAGAATTTCCAGTAATAGGAGGCAGCTAATAGCTGTCTGTTTCCCACACTTGTCCCCCAGCTGGATCTGGATGCCGTCAGCCCCCATGCAGAGTGCTGGGTTTGAAGTTGCCCTCTCTTTGGAGGCTGATCTACTATCATTTCTCGTGTACTTATATTGAAGCTTTTGGTATGTTTTTCATCTAGGAAGCAGCAAATATTCTGACCGAATCGGGACTACTAGCTTTTCTCAAAGGAGCTCCAGGAAGGATCAGGGCCCCTCAGAAGCAGAGTTGGAGAGACAGCAAATCCTGCAGGAAATGAGGAAGAGGACGTCTCTCCATACTGACAACAGCTGGATCCGACAGCGCAGTGCAAGTGTGAACAAAGAGCCCATCTGCCTGCCTGGGCTCATGAGAAGGTAGGAGATATTCGCGATCTTTGCTGGGAAGCAAATGTCTCAGTTCTAGGCTTTCCTCTTTTTGGGGGGCAGTGAACTATCATCAGATGCAGTCAGTTCTTGTGTCTGAACCATCTCATTTAAACTGGGGACAATGTTTTGAAGTAGACTCAGTTACTCTGATATATATATGTGTGTGTGTGTGTGTGTGTGTGTATGTAAAGAAACTGGTTGAGTGAGACAGGGAAGCCAGCAGGACAAGATCACATCATGAATAGCTTCTAAGTCTGGATGTGGAATTTGGAAATGGGATTCAGATAACTAAATATGAATTTGATTCCTTTTTTGTGTGTTAAGCTTGAAGAGAAGGAAATGTACTTATGTTCATAATCAGATTAACAGCTAGGTTGCAATCATGGTAATTAGGTTCATAACAACTGTGCAAACCGAATTCTGTAACATTTAAGATGGTAAAACTGCAGGTACAAGTTGGAGTGAGTGGGTGGGCATGCTAGGAGACCTATCTTGGCAAATTATACTGCAGCTACTCTGCCAGTGTTCTATCTGACTGCTGAGCTGGGGAAATTTATTTGTAACATGTTTCAGATAGAGAATTAATTATTTTAATATACAAGTAGGTGTTTTAAAATGCAGGATTGAATCTTAGGAACTTTATCTGTGTGTGTATCTCTGTCTATATCTGTATCCTCTAAACTTGACAATACCATTGCTGAGAAGGCCTGGGAGGCAGGCCTGGGTTGCAGGGCAGTCAGCCAGAGCCTGACCCACACACTCCTAGTTTGAGCAAAGAAACTTCTATGAGATTAAAAACAACCTTCTATGGTTCTGTGAAGATTGAATATTTCTGTGGAAATGTCTAGCTTAATACTTATTATGTACCTAAAATTCATTTTGTGATTGAATTTTGAAGGAATGAGGTTTATATGTCTACACTGTTCAAGATTTAAGGGATGACTGGTTACCTTTCTAGCATTCACTTTTATTTAAATGATAATTTTCTTGCCAGTTTGATACTTGGTCTTTGGTCTAAGCACCATGCCAAAGAAAGTTATTGAAGAATGAACTGGCACAGTACCTCTGATGCAGAACAGTTTTATTATTAAAAGTAATCATATATGTAACTGGATTCAGATGACTTACAGTTTAGGAAATACGTAAAATGGGTCTTATATTGACCATAATGGTACATTACATCCGACGGATGATCTCCAGTTGAGTGGCTCATGTTACCCCTATGACTTCTTCCCGTGTTTCAGAGGGGAGTCCCTGGACAACCTGGACTCCCAGCGGCCCAGTTCCTGGAGGCAGTCCCCATGGCACAGCCAACCTGCAGGAGTCTATGCCTCCTCCTCCGTCCAAGACTTCAGTCGCCCGCCTCCACAGCTGTTGTCCACATCAAACCGTGCCTACATGAGGAACCCATCCTCTGCGGTACCACCTCCAGCTGGCCCTGTGAAGACCATCATCCCAGGCCCTGCCCCCCCAGGGTCTCCTACCCCACGCAGCTGTTCCCCTTCCATTTCACAGTCGGGCTCTCAACTCCGCAACAGGTGAGGCCCTTTCTGTTGACCCCTAGTCTTAATTTCACGTCTGTTTCTTCGTTGAAATGTTCCCTAAATTATCCAGTGAAGAAGAAAAACTGAGTGCATGAATTTGGTGTTCTTGTATCAAAGCCATTGAGAAGACTTTCTTCTGCCTCTGTCTGCTGCCTGCCTAGTGTCTACCGATGTCTGGGAAAGGCACTGGAGACTTTCAACATGTCTGCATGTCGCCAGGCTCTCTGTTGCCTGTGCTTTTGGTCAGTGTCTCAGCTGGAAGATTTCTCTGAATAGATCACCCTGTGGCATCCACAAAGGACACAGTGGCTCACAAATGCTTTCATATTTATGAGTACAATCAGTGCTATGAAGTGTCTGACTTTTAATGGCACTCTAATAGAAACTCATTGGAATGGGTTGTGATAAATAGGCTTCATAGCCTGGGCCGTTTGAACAAGCTGGATTTTAAAAAAATCATCCTGTAGGTTTGATCTTGCTTTCAGAGTCTTGGGTCGCTTCATCTGTGACCCCATCTGCTACCACTTTGCTCAGTCCTCATTACTTGACTTCCGCAGTTCATCTGTTCTGGGGAGGGGGTGAAAGTTAGGGAGTAACTTGAATGGCCCCTTGGCCCAGGTCATTGGGTGAAGCCCTGATGTCAATGTGGGTTGTGTTTTTAGATCATCACAGTGTCCCCATGAGCCAGTCCTCTGTTGTCATCCCAAGGGAGTTTTAAATTCCATCACAAATATAATGATTAAGGTAGAAATTCATTGCTATTTGGATATTTTAAACTGTTAATAGACTTAGATAAGAATAAATATCTCATTTCAAAATAGTGTATAATTATCAAAATCTAGAAAATATGTTAGAGAGTTGAATTAAAGGAAAAGGGGCCAGGAGGCATTGTGGCCAAGTTTTTTTGGTGATAGATGGAGTTTTCAGAAAGAGAGGATCCACCATTCACTTATTCTCCCTCTGTAGCCCCATATGTGAATAGAACAGGGCAGGGGAGAGCTAGGGGACAGGTCTTGGGCTTCTCTGTCCAGGGAGAGTCTTTGGCCAGCAGATTGTTCTCGCCACACCTGCCTCTCAATAACCATCACTCCCTGCACTCCCAGTGGTCTTGTGGTGTTTTACTCCTTCTGCAGGGATGAGAAAGTAAGGCTGAAGGTGATGTCTCTTTAGCACTAGGAGAGACCAGTCCTTTTAGGTCTGAAAGTGAAGTGGGAAGGAATCTCCATCCCTGACTCATCGGCAGTGCTTGAGCTATGATGACTTCATTCTCAACAGAAGTACACTCAAGAAAGTGTCCCTGTTTCTAACCAGAAAATTGAAAAGGAGGGTAAAAAGTAAAGTTGAGGAGGCAAATTACAGAATCTGGATGGACCTGAGAGTGGAATTTCATATATAAGGCAACTGAATTAGCAAGAAGATGTAGCATATTGGAGATACTGATGGGTCCATAAGTGGTCTCAGGGGAATGGGTACAAAGTCCCAAATGGACCAGTCATATTGAAATTGTTCCTTTAGGTAAACAGGCTTCAAGGTCCCTAGAGCCTTCATGACAGTTGAAGGTATAATGAAGACAAGCTTTATTTAGTTGGCTGCTCAAAGTCTTGCTCCCACAGATACAAAGAGCCTTTCTTCAGCTGTTACCATTTCTGCCAACGACAGTGTGACTTTAAATGCCAACCTTGTCAAGCAGAGGTGAAAGCCTCCATTCCATTCTTGTTCCACGTCTAGGTCAGTGAGTGGGAAGCGTGTGTGTTCCTACTGTAATAACATTCTGGGCAAAGGAGCCGCTATGATCATCGAGACCCTGGGTCTTTGTTATCATTTACATTGTTTTAAGGTGAGCGTGAGACGAAGAGCTTGCCGACCGCGGTGCTTTGCTTGGAGAGCGCATGGCTTCTGTGAGCCGCTGGGTTGTGGTTGTGCCACTAATAAGCTTGGCGCTGTTATTTGTTGGTCTGTGCTGCTGCAGGAGTCACAAATTGCTTGCTACTACTTGGTTGTCAAACCTGAATCTTCTTATAAAAGTCAGTCTGCAAGTCCTGTGCTTTTTGTAGCTCTAATCTGCTTAGGATCCTATAAATAAAATTAATGGTACATAGTATGTTCTCTAGCATGCTGCCATGGGTAGACTTCAAATTTAATTTACCAGTGTTATTAGCATAGAGACATACAGTTATCAGTGTTTAATGAATAGCTTTTAATAGTGTCTGGAAGGAAAGCCACTGGTAAATATTTTTACAGTTGCATAGCCTGCTTAGACCTGATAGTGTTCCTATATACAGGGAAGGGTTCAGGCTGTAACTCTTGGTTTAACAGTATCTGCTGATGAACGCATCAGTTTAATTCTTGAACTTTCATTGGGCCATAGAAATAGAGAGGCTCCCTAGTTTTGATACTGGAGTTCCAAAGTTAACAGCTTGCTTAAGCATAAGCGTATGAATTTGTATATATAAATCCATGTAGAGCAGAATGAGTCAAAATAATGTTTGCGTGCGCGCACGTGCATACACACACACACACACAGAGAGAAAGAGAGAGAGAGAAGAGGAAAGAGACAGAGAACACCCTAACCTTGACACAAGGCACCCCGTGAATGCTTGCTCATTTAGTGCTCCACGGACACTTGGAGCAGCTCACTCTAAACTAGAATGTCAGAAACCCTAATTCTATTTTTCCCTTGTTCTTACATGGTGGTGAGTTATCCTTTATTTCTTTGGAGTAATGAAGACTAAATTTCTTTAAGCCAATCAGCAAATTGTTTCTTTATTTCTCCACCTCCAGTATATGTCAAATGATCATCTTGGTTCTTAAATTTTTCTTTATGAATTCTTAGTGTCTAATCTGGAAAGCTTGATTCTAATCCACTAATTGTGTTTTGGCCTTCCCTATCCTTTGTTATAATACACCCATGGGTTGAGGAGCTGCCTTTTATATTCCTCTCGCCACATTTCTCTCTGTCTCTTCACCCCATGTATCTCTCGTCTGAGAGTACGCCAGGCTTTCTGGGCTTGTCTAATTTTACATTCTCTTTGGTCTGTCAGTGTGTCTCCTGCGAACGTGACCTCGGAGGTTCCTCCTCAGGAGCTGAAGTCAGAATCCGAAGCAACCAACTTTACTGCAATGACTGCTATCTCCGATTCAAATGTAAGAGAGCAAATCAGAGAGAAAATTTCTTGTCTTTTGAGGAGACCACGGGTTCCTATGCCTTTTCCTGAGCCTGCAGCCACTTCTTCCTCAGGTTCATTACCATAGGATCGTGGGTCTTAGGGGTCATAGTCTGTCCCATTCATAGAAGGGATGTAGTGAATCCCAACCACCTAGAAGGAGATTGTGGGTTGGAGGAACTGAAGGGGCTTGTACCCAGAAATCAGAACATTGTCTCTGGTTTGCAAAGATCCAAAAGGAACTTATAATGACTCCTGGGCTCAGAATAGGGATTAAGACAAGTCTGCTTTCTGATTAAGGCTTCATCTCTCATCAGCTCATTTCCATTATCTGATGATGAGAGCTTATTATGTGACTTATAATCAACTCTGAAAATTGTAGGGATAAGAGCGGCGGGGCTGCGTCCCCAGCACCCCGGCTGCCTGGCTAGCTTATGCCCGAAATAACAACACACAAATTGTATTCATTTAAACACTGCTTGGCCCTTTAGCTCTAGCCCTTACTGGCTAATTCTGATATCCTGATCAACCCATCTCTAATAATCTGTGAGCACCGGTCTTACCGGGAAGATTCTAGGTCCATCCTGGGTCGGAGCTGAATCGCGTCTGCCCGGGAGAGCGGAGCATGGCGTCTCTCTGAGGCGTCTGCTCCCGAGAGGAGAGCTGTGGAGTCTGAGCTCACTTCCTCTTCCTCCCAGCGTTCTGTTCTGTTTACTCCTCCCACCTATCTTCTAACCAATGAGGGCCAAGCAGTTTCTTTTTATTTAACCAATGACCTTCCTCCATCAGAAAATGATTGAACCTGAGTATCACTTTCTGCTTTATGATAATATGTAGCCATATATCCATACATATATTTTTTGAAGAAGAGAGCCTCAATTCTGTTTATAAGGAGTTTCAATATTATTGAATTTAAAAACAATTTAAATGCTACTTCCTTTCTAAGTATGTGTTCGAGCCTTGTGAAGTATAGGGTAGCATAACTTGGTTGTGTATTGTTATAGCTTCAGCAAGACAATAGTTACTGCTGTATATCATTTTGAACCTTGACGCTGGTAACATGTTTCTTCCTTGTGAAAGGGTGTTACAAGTGGTACCTACAAACCTATTGCTTTTGAACTCGGAGGTATTTATATGGCCCCTTATATGAAGCGTGTTTGGAAATGATTTGAACTGATCAACTCTCTTTTATCTGTCAATGGCTTCTGAGCCTTATCTGCTGGCTGTCCAGGCCTCTCTTGGATATTGATCCTGAAGTTGGGAGAATATCAAGGCTGGGCATGGGATCTGGGGTGGTGGTGTGTATGTGTGTGCATTTTTTCTCTTTTAAATCCAAAGCCAAATATCACTGATTTTTGGAGCTATTGCCCACGCCTTTTCTCTCCTTCAGTACAAATAATAGAGAGTTGCAGGCCTTTTGTTTTCTGACTCAACAGCTAGTTTTTACTCTCTTTTGCAAATAAAGAGTTCTAGCCCCAAGAGGCTGCATTCTGCCTACTTTTATCCTAAGACGGAGTGACAGGCAACTCTTTCTACCTCATTGGGCCCCTCTGAGTGACAACTGCTATGTATCCCATGTGCTGATATTTATATGCTTTTGAGTCTGAGCACCTTTCTCTCTTCTCTCCCTGCCTGATCAGCTGGACGGCCAACCGCCATGTGATGTAAGCCTCCATTCGAAAGCACTGTTGCAGATAGAAGAAGAGGCGGTTGCCACTGATGCAGAACTATAAATATGTCTTGTCCCCCCCCCCTTTTTTTTTTAAAAACAGAAGAACCTTTCCCTCATTAGGACATAGGAACACTGTAGTGTTGGTAGGACTTGTATTTTTGCTCTTTATTTATAAGATGGTAATTTTGTCTGTGTGGGGGGAAGTGCAGTATTTGCCTTTGAACTCAGTATCCTAAAAGCACAAGTGGAAAAACCCCAAGAACTTAAAAAAAAAATACTTTTGAGGCCGATGCTGATCTAGTTTGACCCTTTATTGGTGTTTTGAAGAGGGTATTTTATTTTTTTTTAAGTTCTGAAACACTATTTGAAATAGTTAATATAAATATGTAATTGTTTACTGTTTATTGTAATGTATTCTAAGTTAATGTGAAACTATAGGAAAAATTTTCATTTAAATCCACCCATAAATTTGCTTTTTGTGGCTTTCTTTACACAGAAATAATCCAATTGAGAAATAATTTTGTTCCTGAAATATTTTATTTGCTTGAAGAAGGCATTCTATTTTCCTTACAAGGACTGTGGTTGCTGAGCAAATAGAATAGGAAGCTGTTCATTTCCAGTAATGAAAAATAACCATGGTTTGCACCAGGAAGTTTTTCAAGAAACTAGTGAGCTTTTCTGTTCGGTTGCCTTTGTAAATAAAATTGGTGATGCGTTTAAGGAGTGGCTCTTTTTTTTTTTGAAAAAAATTATTTATTGAATTATTAATTTACTTATTTAATGAGTTTGGGTCTCTTGTAGTCCTTTTTTTAAAAGTAAAAAATATGTGCCACCTTTCTTCTTTTCTCTCTCTCCCTCCCTCTCTCTCCCTCTCACTCCCCCTCCCTCTCTCTCTCCCTCTTACTCTCCCTCTCTCCCTCTCCCTCCCTCTCTCCCCCCATCCTCCCCCCCCACCACGTATGTGTTTATCACAGGCATATGGGTGTCTGTGGAGCCCAGAGGAGGGTGTGGGATATCCAGCGTGGGTCTTGGGGGCTGAATTCGGGTTCTAAAAGAGCAACAAGAACTCTTGCCTCCTGTGTTGGTGCTCAGTTCCCCTTTCCAGTGCTTGAGCTATATAGTTCAATATGTAGACCTTCTTGATATCTCATTTTATGTATCTTTACTAAGGTGCAATTGACATCATAAATTGCATCTATCTATCTATCTATCTATCATCTATCTATAGTGTGAATAGTTTGACATATTTTGGTATTTGTATTTCTGTTCAACTATTTCTACAGCCATGATGATTCTACAGAAAAAGTTTAATTTCAATCATAAATTTTATTTCAGATAATTATATAAGTTTGAATGTTTTTTTTATGGTAATGTAAGTTGTGAACTGTTGGGTCAGATTTTAAAAATCATTATTTTTGTCCTCTAGAGAGTTTGGAAGTATCTAGAGCAAAAGTAGTACTTTTTAAAAGAAATCTAGATGAAAAATAAGCAATTTAAAACGTTAGTGTGATTTGTGAAAAATATAAGGACACTTGGATTCTTTGTAAAAATGGAAATAAAATGAGAGGTGGTACATCAGAAAAGGCTTAAATAGGTAGTTAAGTATTAATATGAGAGAAAATTAAAAATTAGTTCCAGAGGTTATTTTTTGTTGCTGAGCAATTATTTTTATTTCCAGTTATTAAAGTAATATGTACCTATTCAGGAAAATTTTCCAAATGCTCCATAGCATTAGAATCTAGCTTGCAGCCAGCTCCAAACCCCAGTGAAGAAAAGCGGCCCTTGAACTCATTCTGCACACAGATGTTTATCCTGCATCCTTAGCTACCACTGTGTGCTCCCATGTTCTTAAAATCATTTCTTCTCTCCTCTTCTTCAGGTATGCCACTCAAACATTCTACTGCTAATGACACCTCCTAGGCCTCGGTTTCTTTTCTTTTTTATTGGAGTTTATTTATTATAAATATCCGTTGGTTTCATGAAGGTGTTTTTATTAGGGTACATCACATACTTTGGCTGTGTTCACCCTCCAATATCCCCTCCTTTCCCCAGACAGAAGAACCTCTACGTTCATGCCATCCATAATGATTTTGCTTGTATATAAAATATAGCACCCACAAATGAGAGAAAACATGTGGCCTTGAGTTATTTTATTTTACTAGGATGGTTTCCATTTATAGCTATCTTCTTTTACATTTAGTGTGTGTGTGTGAGAGAGGGGGGAGGAGGAGAGAGTGTGCCACAGTGTGTGTGATCAGAGGACCACACGCAGGAGCTGGTTCTCTCCTTCCACCATGTAGGCTCCAGGAATCAGACTCAGATAATCAGGTTTGGCAGCAAGCGTGTTTGCCATCTAAGTTTCCCCTGTGTTCGTTATCTTAAGATGATGTTAGTTTATTTTTCATTAGCGTCAAATAAAACTGCATTGTGTATGTATGCCACATTTTCTTTGTGGATTCATTGGTTGGTGGATACCTAGGCTGATTCTGTAACTTGGCCATTCTGAACACACTTACAATAAAAATCGATGTGCAAGAATCTTCTTAGAATGTCTTTTGGATATAAACTCAGGAGTGGACCAGTTGAGTGCCGTGGTATAGGTCTATTCACAGTTCTCTAAGGAACTTCCATACTGATTTCCCTAGTGGCTGACTAATTTGCATCTCAACCGACAGTGCAGAAGAACATAATAGTTCCCTTTCACCCACATTCTCAATAACACTTGTTTCCTCCTTCCCTCCCTCCTTCCCCCACCTCCCTCCCTCCCTGGTTTTTTTTTTTTTTTTTGTGTGTGTGTGTGTGTGTGTGTATGTTTGGACAATTTCTGAGTTACATGACTGGCTCATAGAGGTCGGATTTCTTTGTCTTCTGTGTGGGTTGCATGTAGTCTGTGGACAAGTGACTTTAAAAGATAAGGTTGCAGAATCATCAAGATTCATGCAAAACATGTCTGGGTGGCATTCTCTAACATTCTGTCTGCTCTAAAGAATCTAGGGCACACTATGCCTCCATTTAAGGGCAGAAGTGGGCAAGAAGAGTTAGAAGAGTTGATTTCTTGCACCTATATAACTCAGACCTTTCAGAGAAGTTTCTACTCCGTATATACATTAAAGCGTGAGCCTTCTTAGGAACTAAATGAGGAAAGCAGCATGAAAACTATTTTTTTTCTGTTTAAGAATTTAATCTTAGTATTTTTCTTGAAATCTCCCTCAATATCAGAGTGAGGTCTAATCCCCCAATGCCAAAACTGGAACTGTCTGAATTTCCATGATGGGTACAGTTAAGAGGCATGTCTAATAGCGTGTGTTATTGTTGGGATTTACTCTGTTTTTAGTAGCTCTTTTACATCCTTCCTTGCAGGAGGGTTTAAAAGGCATGCACATACAAGTCCAATTCCTGCCCCTGAGTATAGCCTTAAAAATGAATCTGTGCACAAGTACATGTGGAGAGGCAAAAAGCAATTTTCAGATTAACCTTGTGAATTCTGAAGCACATATCTGCGTATCTGCACATCTGCATTCAGTCGGTTCATAAAGGAGACCAGGGCTGTGAGAGCAGCTTGTGAGACGCTGAGAACCGTGGTCACTAAGGGTAGAGATGCCTTAGTGGCAGACTTGTTTTCTCTCTTTTGTATCTCCACCCAAAGCTTGCATGCATAGTCTGGTCTGTTCCACAGAGGAATGGACACACGAGCAGCTCTGGTCTGTGGGGTAATGTATCGGAAAGTGGTGTCTGTTTGTCACGGTATCAAAAGAGAGAGAGAAGGAGCAGTTTCCCGTATTCTTCAGAACAATAGTATACTGTAGTTTAAAACAATTTTAGTGCATACTTAATAGCGAACAAAAAAGAGGAGTTTGAAACATCACAAGGAAGTGACGTTTGGAGGAGATAAAAATAATCACAGTGCCTGGTTGCACTATTATATATAATATCGTTACACCTGTATCCCATAAATCTGTATAATTAGCCACATGACTGCTAAAAATACTTTGAGAAATACTGTCTTATGGTTTTACAAGTACCAGTACCAGATCAAAAATGTCCTGGGCCAGCAAGGTTTCCAGAAGCACTTTTAAGGGAGGAGATCAACTCAACTGGCTTATACCAACTTTGGGTGTTTTGCCAAATGGCATCTCATAGGAGTTTTGATGACCAACTGTGGTCATTCTCTGAGGCAGCTTTATGACTTTAACCTGTGATAACTCTGTATTTTTGTTCTCATTTGTTAATTCTTTTTGGACCTTAGAAGAACACAAGTTATTCGGGGGCAGGGGATTCTCTGGTTTTGATTGCACCACCGGTATTTAGAATAATGACACAGCAGAGCAGTGGTGATATATGCCTTTAATCCCAGCACTTGGGAGATAGACGCGGGCTAGCCTGGTCCACAGAGTGAATTCCAGAATAGCCAGAGCTACATAGAGAAGCCCTATCTCAGGAAACAAAACAAAACCCAGAAAGAACGATGCCATGGTAGGTAGACAGTAAACAATGAATAAAAGACAAAGGTGTCCTGTCCTCTTAGATGGCAAAGATCACACGGCCCACCTGGGACCCAGAAGCCTAGGAAAAAGGAAATTTAGAGAGCAGTTCTTATTGAGAGAGGAGACAAATTCTGTTTGGGACAGCATAGACAAATATGTAGAAGTATTTATAGTTAGCTGGAAATAAATGATTGGGCTTAAGCAGCAGGAGGAAGTGATATTCATCATGTGTGTTATATTTATGTGCTCGAGTCTACATGAATATAAAGAAATTAATTTCCTGACCCGACAAGTAATCAAGAAGTTTGATTTATCTAACAGTTCAATAATGGTAGAAGAACTTCTCATTCATTTCTGGCTATTTGACTATCCACTATGTAGGCTGATTCTGATCATTTAATTGATACTATGGAAGTTGACAAGCTTTGAACTTCCTTGCCTATTGAAAAGAGACCAACTTTTCTAATTCTCTCTGCTGTGTAGGAGGACTTCCCATTACACTTCATCAGAATACCCCAGTTTGGATAGAGCTTGAGTCATTTGCTTATTTTGAGCCAAGAGTGGTCTTATACGCATGCCCATCAGGACTCCTTCCCTTGCAGTCTGTCGGGACAGCCTGCCACCATGTTATTCATGGAGGAGGTTATGATGGAATGGGTGTTGGGTAATCAACCATGCAGGTTATTATAGCTGGCATTTATAAATGCTCAGAATACCTTGCCATGATTTCAGGGGGGTTTCTTAAGAACCAACATATAGAGAAAAGGAGACAGGACAAAGATCACATGTGGAGGTGGCGTTAGTCAAAAATGATGTGTTTTAGCAATTAGAAAGGCTGACTCATGTGAGGGAGCTGGGTACTTTGCAAATACTTGGTCTAAAATGCGTGAAAAATCATTTCATCTTCAAGATTTTTATATACACTTCAGGACAGCAAAACATGGATTGAGAATTCATCTTTCACAATTAATGTCTAAACTCATAAGGTCTGGTGACCTGGTTAAGTCTTATTCTCCTCTCCAACTCGATGGAGCTCTGTGATGCTTACGTTTTCCAGATCCTTTACGTACTTTATGGGTATTTATATTTATTTCTTGTGATTTATTTCTGCAGAGGATTATCCCAACTTCTTTCTACTGAAAGTCGATTAGAATAGAAATAGAATTTACTGGAAAATTTCACAGTGGAGGCCTATTGAGATGACAAAATGAAATATTTTTGTGTGATCTTTTTT